AACACGTACAATGCTGATCAAGAAGTTATTAAATGTATTTGTCAAAGTACAATTTTAACCAACTTTATTCAACACAAATTAAAAACAAAGTGAACGAGTAAACATTATAACCAGCTGATAATAGTTATAGAATAAATAAGCAATAAGTAAAGGTAGACTAGGATGTAACATATACCATGACGGCAAAAAACAGATTTGCATTTCTCGATTATTTCAGCAGTTGACAGGTTTTTTAATGTAGCTATTTCGAAATAACGGAAAAACAGTCAGTGATTACTAAGAACCATGTTCCTTCGAGTTTGAAGAGATCAATCGCTGCTTTTTCCCAAGGACGAGTTGGAAGCTCACTTGGTAAAAGGGGTTCATGATGTTGCGTTCTATGTTCTGTACATTTTGGACAATCATTAACATATTTCTCAATATCAAGTGACATTCCCGGCCACCACATACTATTGCTGGCCCTAAGTCGACATTTAGTAATTCCTAGGTGACCTGTGTGTATTCTTGTCAACATTTCTTGTCTAAGAGTTTCCGGGATTATGAGACATTCTCCTCTAAGCAACAGTCCGTCACAAAAAGATATTTCATCCCGAACTGTGAAGTATGGCTTAAGATTATCGGGAATAAGCTTAGTTTTATCAGGCCATTCAGTTGAGCAGTACCTAAGATTTAATTAACCTGAGTTCTGAACTAGCCCGCTGTGCCGAGGAAATTCTATCAAGAACCATGTCAGTTACATAGGCAATGTTTCTTGTTACTGTGTGGATGGCCAGTTCAACTTCCTCATCCAAATCATAACTCTCATTAGTCGCTACAGGGCTTCTTGAGAGACAATCAGCAGTTGCTAAATGTTTGCCAGGAGTATATGTAACATTGTAGGAATATCTCATCATTCGAAGTCTGAGCCTTTGAAGACGGGGTGTCATATCATTGATCTCTTTAGTAGTCAAAATACTTACCAAAGGTTTGTGATCTGTTTCCAACGTGATGTGCTTGCCCACAATATAGTCTTTAAACTTGTCACAGCTCCATGTTAGAGATAGAGCTTCTCGTTCAATGTTAGAGTAGTTTCGTTCGGTTTCGCTCAGAGTACGTGAAATATAAGAAATCGGTTTCCAATTTCCATGTCTTTGTTGTTGTTAAAGTACTCCACCCAAGCCTTGTGTAGAAGAGTCAGCAGAAATCCTAGTTGGTTTATCCTTGTTATAAAATGCTAGTTGAGGTGGAGATGCCAATAATTCTTTCAGTTCATTGAATGCTTTCTGTTGTTCAAACCCCCAACACCATTCGTTTTTTCTACTTAGAAGGTCGGTAATGGGTTTTAGTAATCTACTTTTGTTAGGTATGTATTTGCCAATAAAGTTAACCATGCCAAGTAACCTTTGTACACCCAAAATATCTGTTGGAGGTGCCATTTTTCTTATAGCTTCGACTTTGGTCTCATCGACTTTGATTCCTGTTTCGGATAGATGGTGACCTAAGTAGGTTAAGGAGGTTTGAGAGAACAAACATTTGTCTCTGTTTAAGGTGAAGCCTGCACGTTCAAGTTTGGTAAGTACTTCTTCTAAGAAATAGTCATGTTCTTGTTGAGTTTTACCCCAAACAATTATATCGTCCATGTGCGCAAGTGCATTCATTTGACCTTTAAGGGTTCGATTCACGCATTCCTGGAATACTTCTGGTGCAGATGTTATTCCAAAGGGTAGTTTCAGAAATTTAAAGCGTCCAAACGGTGTCAGAAACGTTGTCAAATCTTGGGATTCTTCGTCCAATGTGATCTGCCAGAATCCATTAGTAGCATCCAATTTAGAGTAGCATTTTGCTTCTGAGATTTGGGCAAGTGTTATGTCGATAGGTTGAATAGGATAGTATCTTCGTTTGACGCATCTGTTTAATTTAGTAAGATCCACACAGATGCGAACTTTGTTAGAGTCCTTCTTTGGTACAACAACCATTGGAGAGCACCAGTCTGTGGCATGGTGTACCTCAGCAATCACCCCCATTGACACCATTCTCTCAAGCTCTTCTTTAGTAGATTCCCAAAGAGGAAGAGGAATCTGACGAGGTGTGTTGATTGCAAATGGATTGGCGTTATTTTTCAGTTCTACTTTGTATTTGACATCAATAGAACCTAAGCCTTCAAACAATTTAGGGTGTCTGTTATACCAGTCATTACAGGATGGCTGTATTTCATTGATTCGAGCAAGTAACTGCAAATTTTTTATTGTAGGTTTACCTAGAAGGGGTTGGGAAGTGCCCTTAGAAACATATATAGTCTCATAACATGTTTTGTGATTATATGATAGTTTGACTGTAGCAGTTCCCAAAATTGACAAAGCTTGACCATTTGCGCCACTAAATGTTTTGGATGTGGGATTCAGCTTGATTTTCTTGTTCAACTTAATGTCGGAAGGCAAAATCATTACGTCTGCGCCTGTATCAATTTTGAAAAGAACATCATCACTGTTGTTCATATTTAACACTACAGACCAAGGATCATCACGTACGGTTTTTTGAGGGTCTATGTACTGAGAGCAAACATTTTCGGTGGGGTTTTCAAGGAGGAATCATCATATTCAATTTGACTGACTTTGTTTTATTTGCAAACATTTGGGAAATGACCGACTTTTTTACAAAACCCACATTTGTATTGTTTAGGGACAGTTGAATCTTTCGTGTAAAACTGTCGAGCCACACCAAAAACATCTCTTTTCGACATTGGACAGGCTTTTATTGACATTAATTGGCTTAAAGTATTGATTATTGTTTGATTTATCAAGAGAAATGTTTGATTTACTTAAATGTTGAGTGTCTTTGTTTATTAATGCTATGTCAGCCAAGTTTAGTGTTTGTTTCTGTCGTGAAGTTTTAATTCGGGTTCAAGTTGAAGACGAGTGATTCGTCCTGCATACCAATAATCAAAACCATCAGAATCATCTCCTCTTCAATCTGACCCCAATCACAGTTTTTTGCATGATTGTGAAGGTCTGTGATTAACACGTTGACTGCGCGTGCCGACTTTAGTCGGCGTCGCCAGCGCTCCCAGGTGGCGCGCGCCGACTAAAGTCGGCACCAGACCAACAGAAATATATTGAGTCAGTGTGAGCTTAGCCTCAGACGGAGACGTTATAATCGTTGCCAGCCTGCCAGCTTAGAATGCGAGCTTTACTTTGGTGTAGGTTGGTACTAAAATTTCCCGTAAAATCCTGTCTGGCAATCGGTTTCGGGGATTTTTTCTCTTCAACCCACATTACAAAGACACTGGATACGGATCCGTGCAGTGCTGCTACCTTTGGGTGTTTCAGTGAACTACATCCACTCTCGGGGTAACGCAGCACAGTCACCACTGCTCTTTTGTGATTCGTCAGACTGAAATATTTGAATGCCAATTGCGTTCGCTGATTCGGTTGCGCGCCGGGGCTTCGCCCGCCACTGGGGAGCGCCTGTAAAGTCGGCGCGCGCAGTCAACGTGTTAAGTTCTCAGTCGGCATGGAACCCTGTTTAAGTTTTAGAAACCTAGCCCATTCAAAAATTAGGTTCTTTTTTGGAAGGAAATGATCGTCAAACTTCTTTAGAACAACTTTGTAATTAGATTTGTCATTGTCATTTAACCTGAATGAGTTAAGTATATCCTCTCCCTTTTCCCCCATACAGTATATAAGCATGTCAATCTGATGCTTACCAGAATGTAGAGCTGAATTGCTAAGGGAATAATACCTCTCAAAGCGAGTCTTCCATGTCTTCCAGTCGTGAGGATTGAGGGAAAAGGCTTCAGGAGGCTTAATGTTCAGGGATATGGGTTCTTCATTCGACTGCGCCATGTTCTATTTCTTATTTAGATAAAAATTAAAAGATCAAAAGAAACTAAACCGTTTTTAATCAAGACACAAATAAAAGACAATATTATTAAAGAAAGTAAATAAAAACATATGGTTAAATAATAATTAAATAACCATAGAGGTTGAACACTACGTTTACGCGCCGAACAAAGAAGTGGAATCAGAAGCTCTTCTTCTGGCTCTTGGAAGTTGCTGTTATTAATTATTTACCTTAATTATTTACACATTTGTTCAGGAACAACATAACAACAGCCCAATGGCTCACAAGATGTTCAGGTATCACCTTATCAAGGATTTGGTCCGAAGTCAAATGGAACAGCAGAAGAGAGATCAAAGAAAGCCAAACACAGTAACCAAAACAACAACAAAAATATACCCAGAGCGGTTTAGCCCCAATCTGTACCTCGTGGGAATTTATAAACATAAACTCAAATTCTATCACTTAACCAATCATCGCTAATAACCAAAAGAGAGCTTAAGGGATGTAGTTTATTATGATCTCACAGTTAATAGACTTCGATAAAAGCTACTTCACTAACTTTTTATTTAGTACTGGACGAAAATTAGAAGCAAGTGAGTAGAAACATGTTTTTTACTGAAACATTGAAACTAGCACACATGGCAAAACAATGCAGATACTGTAAACTTGCGCATTCTGCTGCTAGATAGCAGCACTTTTCGAGATCATCTAGCTTGAATTCTAGGCCAAAAAATGGGTGTACGATTTAGCTTCGCTCTCCCCTAAGCATATAATAGCAAGATGCAAATTAAATGAATCTTTGAACAACTGTCATTCTTGGCTCGGTTTTCCATTCGAGTTCAAATTTGCGGCATTATATTCTGCTAGTAAAGACCTTCAATTGTATGTACATGTCAACTTATGCTTCTATTTAAGATTTCCTTCTGACTCCTTGCCAGCGCAAGAGGGATGGTTTGTCCCCATGATATGACAGAAAACTGATATTTCCTAAAAAAAAGTAGATTTTTAGGTGTGGTGTTGATGTACCAAATCTTATATTGATTTATTTGTTGTAGTTTAAAAAATATTTAACTGTCTTCAGACTTTATTACCACCCTGTATAATATGATAAATAAAAAGTATTTCAATACAGTGAATATAATACAACAAATCAACACGGAGTGTATAATGAAAATCTATACCTTTATAACTGATTTGACAAACTCCAGGGCAGGGTTCATAGTGGTCAAGATGACTCCTGGCACTTTGGCTTCTCCTTCGATTGTTTGACTTGGCAACTTTTTGTGGATGCGCTGAGTTATTCTGTAAAAATGTGCAATTTTATTTATAACAAACAATAATAACTTTTTTGTTTGGATAAACAATCAGTTTAACACCTAAAATCTTTTACAGTAGAACCTAAATAACTTGAACCTTGACATTTCAAGGTACCCTTGTGAAGGTATATAAAAATGTTTAAAATACCTTAATAAGTTGATCATTTAAAATACTTAGCATTGATAAGTTGAATGATGACGTTTTGACACCTGAAATGCTTAACTTCTATTTTTCAAAGTTTCTTGTTTACAAGCCTCAAAAACTCGAAGTATCGAAGTTTACCTTAAAAGTCAAAGTTCTCATGATGTACCTCAATTACTCAAAGTTTTATGCCATACTGTGCAAGTCATCTGTTTTTGGATCTTGGATCGTTCGTATAAGTAGAACGTTTGGCATCACATTTAACCCAAATTACTTTTGCGATGGAACAAATACAGTTGTGTGTATGCCCAAATAATTGTTATTTTGTATTTTATACAGTATTTAAAACAAAGAAGTAATTTTTCCTTTGTTATTGTGTTGTGAGTTTTTCGTAAGCAGTTAAATGTATTGTCGCTCCGTTTGCACTCCCATAATTGTTTGGTTTTTATATAAATTGTGATTCATGACATACTGAGATACAAACTAACCACCCAACTAGCAGTGCGACTATAATAGTCGTGGTAAGTGTTCTCTGTAGTGGCAGCGACTATAATAGTCACGGTAGGTGTTCTTTGTAGTGGCAGCGACTATTATATTCACGTTTTGCAAGGTTTTGGTTAATTCCAATTAAATGGCTAAAAACTATCGTAAAATGGAATAATATTTAAACCGTTAGAAAGATAAGAATCTAAACTTGCACTTTGTTACATAGATGAACTTTATCTCACAAAGGGATCACTGTGATTGAGCAAGTGAACAAACAATTTAGAGCAAAGTCAGTTGTAGTGATGTGTCAAAACCAAATCTCAAATCTCAAAACCATCAAAACTTTGGAAAAGTTTCGGTTTCGAGATTCGATCATGGAGTTTCGAGATTCAAAAGTTTCGCAATAGGAAGTTTTGGCACTTATATTTTTGAAAATGATGGCATTTTTGTGTCATTATTATTAACATTGTTTACACACAAGCTAGTAGCAATCGAGCAAACAGATCTCCATTAACACTAATGAAACAAGTAAATTGTATTCTGAACTGCAAAAGGCATCTTAAATACTGGAACAGCTTAGAATTCAGTTTCATATCGATATTCGATATTTATTAAACACAAAGAAATATTGACCACTAAATGTTCTAATTAATGTAATATTTATGTTTATTTCAATGTCAAGAGTTTCATTTATTTAAATGTTAGTTGTTTATAAAAACAATATGTTATTTTGGGTTTGAAGTTTATCTGTCACATTTATGTTATTATGTCTGGATCAGGAGTCAATCTCTTTCAGTTTTGATCGCATAATCATAATGAAAATGTTATCATTACTTGTATTTAATTTTTAGCAACCTTGACCAGGTTGTTTGAAAAAGTTTTGCGTTCAAGTGTTCAGATTCGAGATTCGGGATTCGATTTTTTAAGTTTCGGTTTTGGTTTCGGGATTCGAAATTTCTGGTTTTTACCATCACTAGTCAGTTGCACCATGTACGCATCACAAAACTGCCAAATTTGGTATGTTTCAAAAATCATAACAAGGGATAACAAATCAATACATTTTTACGTGTTCGTGAAGTGGCAGAGCGACTATAATAGTTGCAGTCGTAAATCACGTTTCATTCACTGAAATATATAATTATCCGTAGTAAAGTATCTCATTCGAAAGTCCATAAAATTCTGTACATTGCAGTATTTAATTGTTTTACCACTGGTGCTAAAGTTATCAGCTGTTATTTTTCGTAAATATTTGTCTGACTAACTAACCTCAATCTCTGTTGACCAACAAGTCAGACCTGTCGACTTGATTTTATTTGATCAGTTTGCATCGTGATTATCGATAAAAAGTTGTAAATTTGTAAATGTTTAGTTTAAATATAATTTTTTGTGCCTTGACACAAATGTGACATTACTTATAGGAACTTGACACACTATTTTTAGCCGGTTTTTGTGAACTTAGCCCGTTTTGAAACATTTTGTGATAGTAGTGAATTAACGATTTGAACGCCACATGGAAAAGCGCAGCAGCATTTTATGTAAAACACCATAAAGTATTTATTTACTTATATTTGTCTGTATAACTATAAATATATATTCATGTAGGGGAATAAATTTACTTTCATTTTATAGAGTTGGTATTTGGGTTTTATGTGTTTGAAATTTGTAACCGTGAAATTTCAGGACAAACACTTCCTACAGATCAAGGGCACTGCCATGGGTACAAGAATGGCCCCATCTTATGCTAATCTCTACATGGGGAATTATGAAGAAAAGTTTTTGTCTAGCCGTGAACACCTCCCCATCTGCTGGTTTAGATACATTGACGATATTTTCATAATTTGGACCCACGGTGAAGAATCACTACGGAAGTTCCTGGAAGACCTCAACAGTTTTGGACCGCTAAATTTCACCTGGGATTTCTCTGAGACTTCCATCAACTTTTTAGACCTTACAATTCATCTAAGGAACAATAGCCTCACCACATCTATCCACATAAAACCGACCAACCACCAACAATACCTCCATTTTTCTAGTTGTCATCCGAATAACACCAAGAGATCACTTCCTTACAGTCTTGCCCTAAGGGGAAATCGCCTAATTTCAGAACCGAAAGACCGTACACAATACCAAACCCAACTTCAAAAAGCCTTCGAAAACCGAGGCTATCCTAGCACTCTCGTAAAATCTCAGATCCAAGCGGCTCAGAACCCACGTCCAACTACAAAGAAAAATACCAACCATCTTCAAGTAAATTTGATAACCACTTACCACCCTGGCCTGCAACAACTAAACAACCTCCTTTAAACAGGTTTCAAAATCCTAGAGTCCTCCAGCCAAACCAAAAACCTCCTTTCAAGAGCCCCTTCCATAATCTATAGGCAACCCCCAAATTTGAGGAATATGCTAGTCCACCCAAAACTCCCAAATCCATCAAAAATACCATCTGAGAAACCAAGACCGGGCTCATACCCATGCAATGAAAACCGATGTAAATCTTGCCAGATACACCATCCTACAGAAACTTTTACCAGCACATACCATAATAAAAATTACAGAATCCAAGGCCATCATACCTGCAGCTCAGAGAACCTTATCTACCAGCTTCAATGTTCACATTGTCCAGCCCAGTACATAGGCCTAACAACCGAGACTCTCCGAAAACGCATGAACGGCCATCGACATGATGTTAAAACTAGCAAAGAAAAACCAGTTGCACAACATGCCTTATCCCACCAACTTCTATTTGATGACTGTTTCACCATAAAAGCTCTAAAATCATTGCCAAAGAACCAATGCAATAGTTCAATGCTCAGAAGATGGGAATTAGCTTACCAGTTTGTGACCAACTCCAGAACCCCACCTAACCTCAACATTAGATAATATCCTCATATCCTCACCCTCACAGCTAACTCTTAAGTATTTATTTTCATGGACAAAACTAATTTGCTTTTCAATGTACATATTATATGTAAATACAATATTGCAATGTGCCTGTATTTAGTGCTTTGTGCAGTGTCAGTTGGACAACCTGTCAGACATTTTGAATTCAAACTGTGTCATCCTATTTAAACTGTTGTTTTGTAACTACCATCTAGGCCTACTTCTGAAGAAGCCTCTGAAAGAGGCGAAATATTAAGTAAATTATGTGTGTGATTTTATGTGTTCTTTGACTCATCTGCAACCTTTCATCAGGTGAGTTAGCTGTGTCCTCTCCATCCTATATTTATTTATTTAATCCAAGCTAAATGCTTTTTCCTAAAAACATAACCGTGAAATTGCAATTTTTTCATTTTATGTCATAGCTTTCTAAAATAAAATTTGTAATTAAAATCTTTTTACGTTGCCATGTAGGGAAATAAATTAAAAACATTGTGTATATCTTAAATTTAACATAACAAATTTTTGCTTCATGCAGCAAAGATTTACCCTCAAAATTTCAAAATTCATAAAACAATCTTTTCTATTTTTTCCACCCAATGTCATACATACTGTTCTAAATATTATTTCTTTTACCAAATTCTTCATTTCATTACAAACAATTCAAGTATACGGATCAATAGGTTTGCTCTGTTGGTTTAGTTTATATGAATTTTTGAAAATATGACTGCAAAATCACCAAAAATGCCTTAGCGTTTGCCCATTGGCAGTTGGAGGGTTAAAGGGGTTGGATTCCAGTTTTCGGCATATACTCGTTTTAAACTGTTACAAAAATTTCTTTTCGACATAGTGCAACGGTTTTAATTAACATATCATTAAATTTATGGCCTAATTAAAGGTAGTTATTTAATTACCAGAACTATGTGTTTTAGGCTATACTTTTGTATCTTTTATTTACAAAAACTGATGGTAAAAAGTTCTTGAAACTTACAAAAATAATTTCTGTGCCATGTCAGTGGAGATGAGTTGGCGAGCAAAGTCAGCTATGTCAGTGTGAGCACCGACACCCAGGGGTAGGGTCTGTGTGCCACTAAGTTGACTCATCCGACGCACTCGGGGTGTGCGGCTGGGCTCCTGCACACACCACACATTACAAAAGACAAGATGACAAGGTTATGTGATAGGGGAAATCATCATTGTCCTCCACAATCGCAGTGAAAACGTAAATTTTTCAGTTGCGAAATCTTCACAGACACGTTTTGCAATTGCAATGCTTAAGCGCGCCTCAACACCATACATTTTCTATATAATACCCGAATCGCAGTAAAAATCTTACTATCTGAATGTGATATCCGAATCCCAATTGATTCGGACAGTTGGAGTTGTACAGAAATTCCTTAGGTAAGTCTTGTATAACATCTACAGTTAACCAACTCCTGATCGGGCTATATAAGTTTAGGTTTCTTAACGTGCTACACTCCCAGTTGTTAATGTAAGTTATCCTAAGAGAAAGTTGCTTATGGTTGCTTGCATATCACAGTTACAGTAGTGCTTTTACCTGGGATATCAGTTGTTGGTAGACTGCGCTCATGTAACCAGCGATGACAGCAGAGAAGTTCATCTGCACACTGTCTGGCAGATACTCCACCATGTTCCAGTTCATCACAATCTCTGGCTGTACACAATAGACAATTTGCAACATGCTTTACTTATATGTTCTTTGAGAACAGTACAGCTTCATAGTATATTTACAGGTGGATTTTTGGTTACATTGTTACAAAAAAAAACAATAAAAAACCAAAGTTCAATCTTAATTCAATTCAATCCATAGTTTCCAAACAAGATAAGAGACTCTATATATAAAAAGTAATAGAATATATCAGCCTAAGTGTACTTATCTCGCAATTGCACTCACACCATCATCATCCTCCTCTGTTTCCTCGCTGTCCTTGTTGAGATCAACCCCTTCATCCTCCTCGTCCTCGTCCTTGTCAGCGTTGTCAGTGTTGACATTGCCAGAGGTCAAGTCTCCCTCTCCTACGCCTGACAACCCTGACGGCAACTTGCCCTTCACACCTCCAAAGTTTGACTACAACGTAAATTTCATTTGCAATTAATGATACAGTAGAACCTCGATAACAAGTCACCCTCGATTACAAGGGTCATTTTCAAATCCCCTTGAAATTATTTTACCCCTAAACACATGTCATTGTAAATCTCGATAAGAAGTCAACCTTGATAACAAGTCTTATTTCATAACCCCTATGAGAGTCTTGTTATCAAGGTTCTACTGTATATACTAGTGATGGTAAAAACCAGAAATTTCGAATCCCGAAACCAAAACCGAAACTTAAAAAATCGAATCCCGAATCTCGAATCTGAACACTTGAACGCAAAACTTTTTCAAGCAACCTGGTCAAGGTTGCTAAAAATTAAATACAAGTAATGATAACATTTTCATTATGATTATGCGATCAAAACTGAAAGAGATTGACTCCTGATCCAGACATAATAACATAAATGTGACAGATAAACTTCAAACCCAAAATAACATATTGTTTTTATAAACAACTAACATTTAAATAAATGAAACTCTTGACATTGAAATAAACATAAATATTACATTAATTAGAACATTTAGTGGTCAATATTTCTTTGTGTTTAATAATATCGAATATCGATATGAAACTGAATTCTAAGCTGTTCCAGTATTTAAGATGCCTTTTGCAGTTCAGAATACAATTTACTTGTTTCATTAGTGTTAATGGAGATCTGTTTGCTCGATTGCTACTAGCTTGTGTGTAAACAATGTTAATAATAATGACACAAAAATGTCATCATTTTCAAAAATATAAGTGCCAAAACTTCCTATTGCGAAACTTTTGAATCTCGAAACTCCATGATCGAATCTCGAAACCGAAACTTTTCCTAAGTTTTTATGGTTTTGAGATTTGAGATTTGGTTTTGACACATCACTAGTATATACCAAACCAACATATTTTTTCCAATTTGTAAACTGCTGTATTATTTTGTATTTATTATATTTATTTCATGATACAGGGTGTATATTAAGTAGGGTGCATTTTTGCGTATAGTTTGCGTTAACGCGCAAGGAAGCAGCTCTCCGCGTACTGACATCATTGGTGAACAGAATGGCACCATTTGCAGCTCTGTAGCTGACGTGTACGCTTTGCTGTGTGTTTAGACAAAGGATTGAATGTCTGCATGCATGATAAGGTCAGTGACACGTTTTTTGACCACAAGAACCATATCCGATGCCGAAATTCATTGCCAGATGACTGAAGGTCATGGACCTAATGCAATGAAATGAAATGAGATTTATTTTCCTTTAAGCATTGTACAAATGCAATGGGCATCGTCAATATATAAACACTATACAAAAACTTAACCTAAGAAAAACCATGCAAACACAGTACGCAAAATAGGCTTACACTCACATTTTGCTGGAATGTCAGGTAGCTCGAGAATACTGACTCTTAGAAAAATATATACAATTTGCATCTTAACTAAGCACACAATGCAGAAAAAAAAATGAGTGAGATAAATGCAGAAATGGGTTGGGGAGTGTTTAAAAATGGCTGTGAAAACCTTTTTATGTTATGGTCTTCTGTGAGAAGTCTGGGTACCCACCAGAAACACAAGTCCTTCAGATGGAACATTTTCACAGTCATTTTTAAACTATTAAACCCATTTCTGCACTTTACTCTCTATCATTGTATTAGCACTTCAGTCAGCTGGGGACGAATGTGTGCAGCCAGTAAGTTTTTTGCAGTCAAAAAACATATCACTGACCTTATCTCGCATGTGGCGGGAAATTCAATTATTAATTATTTTTTTACATATAGCAAAGTATACACCTCAGCTAACAGGGTGTCCACCAGGCCAACCAGAAAAAATTCATGAGTAAAAAAAAATATTCCAGGTAGTTCCGGTTGTACTTTTTATACTAAAATTGCCAACGTGTTTTGCGCCAACTCCCGCAATGCTGTTTTAGCGCTAACACAGCTCGCTATTTAGATATCGGAAAGAGCATTCTCAGGTAAAGAAACAAAATTTATGATTGCTGTAATATTGCCTGACACAAATATTCAATTTTTATATATTACTGATTAAATCATCCGAAAATTAAAAACTAATCCTAAACCGTGGTCGTGACAAAATCCTGATATTGCTCAACTGTAACGGATACAATATAATCGTCTCCCGCGATCACAGTAAAGTTATCATCCTCTTTCTCGATCGTAGCTTAATGCAAATAATTTCCCACGGTCATCATCGTCAAGCAATATTTTTTAGACATCATCATCGTTTCCTGCGGTCACGGAAACGTCATCCTCGTCTCCCACGGTCACCGAAACGTCATCATCGTCTCCCACGGTCACGAAAACGTCATCGTCATCGCCCGCGGTCACGGAAACGTGATCGTCGTCTCCCCTAGTCACAAAAACGTCATCGTCGTCTCCCGCGGTCACAGAAATGTCAACATAGTCTCCCACGGTCACGGAAACGTTATCGTCATCTCCCGCGGTCACGGAAACGCCATCATCGTCTGCCGCGGTCACGAAAATGTCATCATCGTCACCCGCGGTCATGGAAACGTCATTGTCTTCACCCGCGATCACGGAAACGACATCGTCATCACTCGCGGTCACGAAAACGTCATCGTCGACTCCCGCGGTCACGGAAATGTAATCGTCATCTCCCACGGTCACGGAATCGTCATCGTCGTTTCCCACGGTCACGTATACGTCATCGTCGTCATGCGCGATCGCGGCAAAATCAGTAACAAATCCCACTGCAGTTTGGACATCATCATCGTCTCCCGCGGTCACGGAAACGTCATCTTCATGCGCAATCGCGGCACATTGAAAATTCCGGCTAAATTCAAAATTCACACATAATTCCCGGTTTTTCCCCGGTCCAAAAAAATCACGCATAATTCCCGGTTTTCCCGGTCGGTGGACACCCTGGCTACAGAGCTGCAAATATCACCGTTCTATTCACAAAATAATGCCTTTAAGTGGCGAGGAGCATAGTTGCAGTCTGCAAATGTCTGTTAAGAAATATTTGATTGGAAATCCAATCAGGCAAATGGAGATTGGCTCAGTCTGCAGGTCTGCTACAACGGGGTTTTAATTATTGTTTGACTACCTGCTGTCACATTATTATTTGTCAATCACACATACAAATTCACACAGTCATGTATGTTTTGGTAAGTCTTTAAAACCTTGAAGTTACAAGATTACATTTTATTGAGCCGGGTCAATGCTTATGTCGCCACTCACGTATCCCCGACTTACTAATGAATACTAATGAAAAGAGCTTATTCAGCAATTTGTTACACCAACACTACACATGAGGCATATTAAATATTTACCAAATCAAGCCACATAAGATATTCCCAGCACTGATGATAAGACATCTGGATGCCATGGAATAGTTCCTTATTACGGATTGATGTTACGACAAACTCTACATAGCCAATGGCGTCCTCTACAGTTCTCTTCTTGGTACATAGTATCAGCTTACTGAAGTTGGCGTACACGATGACTGCTCCCAAACGTTTGAATTCCGACACAAGCTATAACAATAATGAGTTGGTTTATGATCTTAAAATCAATGATGTACTTATCATTAAGTTGAACGTATAAAAAACTGTTTAATTTATTCCTAAGTACTTACCTGCATGAACAGTTTTTTCATAAGATTGTGCAAAGTTCTTCTAAGGGCTGGATCATAAAGCAAGGCATTGGGGGAACGAAGCCATCTGAAAAACAGTACAACTGTGACTAACAGAAACATTTTCATATATACACAAATTACAAAAGATTTCCTAAAAATTTACTGAATACCATGAACATCAACAAAACAAATCCGATATTTGAAAAACTCCTACAGTTGCAATAAATCAGAAATATTATATAATATACGCAAAATTAAACAAATATTCTCATTGTGTATCACAGTTTTTTGTTGCTGCTTAGTTCAAATTAGCTGTTTTCATAAATACAAAAAATATATAGTGCTGCACCCTGTTTGTTAATCTTGTAACTTTTTAATGCTTTTGCATATCATAGAACCAACTTTTTAAGGTTGAAACAGCTGACTAAATTCTTTAATTCCCTTTAAATATGAATACTCATAAGGTTAACATGGGGAACTGCAGAGCCACTGGGGCGGAGCCCAAAAGGATTTTTGAGATAAGAATATGCCTATATGTTAATCGGGAATGTGAGGTATCATCATGCCAAATTTCAGCCCAATCCGTCCAGTAGTTAATGCGTGATTGAACTTCAAACAAACAAAGAAACACACAAACTTTCACATATATAATATTAGTAAGATATACGCAAAATTAAACAAAGAATAAATCAAGATCCTCTAAATTCTAAGTTAGCTTAACATATGACTATATTTATTCCTTTTATTATTTTTGTTATTGTATTTGTATAAAATGTAAACATGACTATGACCTAAGTGTTGAAACATGTCGTTTGTTAATTTAAAAAAATTTAAAAGTGTACTAATGTTTTATAATGTTTTATGGGGTTAAAATGGGTTTTTCTCATTTATGACCCTAAAAACAAAAAGTTTTGCAATTTATTTCTAAACCATTTTGTAGAGCTTAAAAAAAAGAAATAATTTACTATGTTTAAGCGCTGTTGTATGCCTGACGGTCACAGAGAAAATTCTGAAAAGTGTAATGTAAAATTCTTATGTTATTCTTATGGTGGAAATGAAAACTGTTGTAGTTTACTTGTTTATGGATATCTATATCTATACTATTATATAAAAATCTAGTGGTGTCTGTCTGTATGTTTGTTACTAATAGGCGCATAAACTACTGAACTGACTGGGCTTAAATTATACAAAAATATAGCTACCATACCAAGGACCTTTATAGGACTATTCACAGTTCGATACTGACCGTGAGCTTTGCCCCATTGGCTTTAAAAGTTCTGAGTTGAGGATTTTAAAAGTAAATATTGATTGGTCTCCATGGCTGCCATGAGAACACATAGAATGTTTGCAATTTGCTATGCCACCCAAATGTAAACAAGCAGAACTGTCAAACCACATTAATTCACAACTCCACAGCTGGTTTATAAATAGGCATATAATATTCTCTACAACCATGTGACATGTATTTGATGGTTCATTAATTATTGATTTTATGAAATAAGTGAGATTGTATATCTGTTGCTGTATCTAACCCTAATTAATTATTTAAAATTTCGCTAATGTAAATAATTGTATTGAAAGATTTTGGTGAAAAAAATAGTGAAATTATAAAGTTCACATTTCTTTTTAATCATTTTAACATTTTTGAACAATTAACATGTGTTTAGAGTAGGGCACACACCTTAACCCATTGGCGCCGACTTACGAGCGTAACTTGTACGGCCGCTGCAGGCCCGGCGGCCGACTTACAAGTGCCGCTCGTGTCACCGTTACGCAGCGCCACTAGCTATTTAATTATTATTATTTCCCTGCTTTTTGTTTCTTCTTACTTTTATAATGTTTATAAATATCTTGCTTCTTGATTTCCATATTTACTCATTTATTTTAGCGAATAACAAACAATTTTGTGTTGCCATGGAAACCAGATATCACAAAAAACCAGCTGAGGTAAGGTAAACAAAAAAAATTGTTTCTACGTTATTACTTATAAAAGTACACAACTTTTGATTTGTCTACGTAGGGAATCAATTGAACATTATAATAGTAGTGTTATTTGGTGTAATTTAGCTTTAGAGGAAGCACTACAAGAAGTAAGACAAACAGAAGCTGGAATTACAATAGGGACCAAAATAAACGTCCTTGCATTTGCAGATGATGTTGCAATTATAGCCGAGAGTAAAGAAGAGTTGAAAGCGCTGGTCACAAAACTCCTAAACCATACAAAGAAAGTTGGTTTAAGAATAAATAAAGGGAAAACATAAATAATGGAGTGTGGGAGAGCAACCCAAATAAACAATGACAACAATATAGAAATAGAAGGGTACAACTTTAAAAAAGTAAACAAAGGGTGTCTAGTTTATTTCCATTATAAAATTCAAGACTAATTCCAGACTTTTCAAGACTAATTCCAGATTTTTCAAAACTAGTTTTTCAACAACTATTGGGCGTTGATACCAAAATGTATCGATTCTCGATTTTTGATACCGATACCAATTTTTAGAGCTTAATAAAATTTTCTATATAATACTACACCAACCCCTGTCTTTGTCATAAAGTAGTATTATGATAATGTGGAGTTTTCAAGTAAAGAAATAATGCAGCAATAAAAAATTCTAACCAGCAAATTTGGTTGTTTTTTTATCATGAAATCTTCCGCATACCGTACGTTTAGACATCATCATTGACAGCAGCGGTTACAGAAACGTGATCGTTGTCGTCCACGATTGCGGCAAAATCATGAACATTTCCCACGGCTGTTTAGACATCACTGTCGTCTCCCGCGGTCACAGAAACGTCATCGTCGTCATCCGGGATCGCGGCAAAATCATAAACATTTCCCACGGCTGTTTGGACATCACAGTCATTTCCTGCGGTCACGGAAACATTATCGTCGTTGTCCGCGATTACGGCAAAATCATGAACATTTCCTGCGGCCGTGTAGACATCATCGTTCACATCATCGTCGCGGTCACGGAAACGTCATCGTCGTCGTCCGCAATCGCGGCAAAATCATGAACATTTCCCGCAGCTGTTTAGACATCACCGTCATCTCCCGCGGTCACGGAAACGTTATCGTCGTCGTCCGCGATCACGGCAAAATCATGAACATTTCCTGCGGCCGTGTAGACATCATCGTCGTCTCCCGCGGTCACGGAAACGTCATCGTCGTCTCCCGCGGTCACGGAAACGTCATCGTCGTCTCCCGCGGTCACGGAAACGTCATCGTCGTCTCCCGCGGTCACGGAAACGTCATCGTCGTCCTCCGCGATAGCGGCAAAATCGTGAGAACATTTCCCGCGGCCGTGTAAACATCATCATCGTCGTCTCCCGTGGCCACGGAAACGTCATCGTCATCTCCCGCGGTCACGGAAACGTCATCGCCATCTCCCGCGGTCACGGAAACGTCATCGTCGTCCTCCGCGATCGTGGCAAAATCATGAGAACATTTCCCTCGCCCGTGTAAACATCAACGTCATCTCCCGCGGCCACGGAAACGTCGTCGTCATCTCCTGCGGTCATGGAAACGTCATCGTCGTCTCCCGCGGCCACGGAAACGTCATCGTCGTCTCCCGCTGTCACAGAAACGTCATCGTCGTCTCTCGTGGTCACGGAAACGTCATCGTCGTCTCCCGCGGTCACGGAAACGTCATCGTCGTCCTCCGCGATAGCGGCAAAATCGTGAGAACATTTCCCGCGGCCGTGTAAACATCATCATCGTCGTCTCCCGTGGCCACGGAAACGTCATCGTCATCTCCCGCGGTCACGGAAACGTCATCGCCATCTCCCGCGGTCACGGAAACGTCATCGTCGTCCTCCGCGATCGTGGCAAAATCATGAGAACATTTCCCTCGCCCGTGTAAACATCAACGTCATCTCCCGCGGCCACGGAAACGTCGTCGTCATCTCCTGCGGTCATGGAAACGTCATCGTCGTCTCCCGCGGCCACGGAAACGTCATCGTCGTCTCCCGCTGTCACAGAAACGTCATCGTCGTCTCTCGTGGTCACGGAAACGTTATCGTCGTCTCCCGCGGTCACGGTAACGTTATCGTCTTCCCCAGCGGTCACGGAAAGGTCATCGTCGTCTCCCGCGGTTTCGAAAACGTCATCGTCATCTCCCGCGGTTTCGGAAACGTCATAGTCGTCTCCCGCGGTTTCGGAAACGTCATCGTCGTCGTCCACTATCGCGGCAAAATCGTGAACATTTCCCGAGGATGTGTAGACATCATCATCATTGGCTTTCGCGGTTACGTAAACGCAAGACGACAATCGCGGCAAAATCATGAAAATTCCCGACTTTGAAATTAAATTTAAGACTAAATCCCGACTTTTTAAGACCATTTTGAAATTCAATACTAATTCCCGACTACTAGACACCCTGAAACAAACAACTTCACTTATTTGTGAGTAATGCTGACGAATAATAATGAAGAAGATATGGAAATACAACAAAGAATAAATGCAGCACACAGAAGTTTATCAGCATCCCACAAACTATTAAGCTCTCGAATACTATCACACAAAACAAAACTCCGTATATATAAAACCATTATAAGACCAGTTCTGTTATACAGCTCAGAAAATTGGGTGTTAAGTAAAAAAACAGAAAAACGTTTGATAGTATTTGAGAACAAAATATTGAGAAAAATATATGGTCCAACCTTTGAAGATGGAGAGTGGAGGATAAAACACAATACGGAGTTGAGGCAATTATATATGGACCCAGACATAGTGGCCGAGGTCAGAGGTAGGAGAATGAGATGGGCTGGCCATTTACTAAGGAAAGAGGATGACTCCTTAGTCAAGACCGTCCTTTTGAACAATCCGGAGGGCAGAAGACCACCAGGAAGGCCCAAGTTGAGATGGCGAGACCAGGTTAGAAAAGACATAAGAAGACTGGGAAGAAGGGAAGAGGAGGCAATGGATAGAAAAATCTGGATGCAGTGTGTTGGCGAGGCAAAGTACCACCTTGGGTACCAAGAGCCACGGCAGTAAGTAAGTAGTAAGCAGTAAGTATATATATATGAATTTGAACGGATGGTGTTTTTGGCCTCTGGGAACCTCAAAACGAAAAAGTAAATCGGTCCCTGGTCTAGGTCTTACCATGAGACCTGCGGTAATAGTTTATTCCCTATATGGGAAATTCGCTAAAACTAACCTAACCAAACCTAAACGGCAGGCGGCCCTCTTTTTGAACAGACCAATATTAAAAAAATAAAATCAATATTTATAAAGAATGATAGGGGTGTGCGAATAGTGATTTTTAACCTCGAGCCGAGCCGAGCTTTTTCAAAAATTTTTGAGCTCGAGCTTTTTTGAGCTGAGCTTTTTCTAGCGTCACCTTATCTAAATTATTAAACTTTTTTTTCTAAAAAAAGTGCATAATAACAATGTTCAGTCAATTTTTAAATAAACACAATGTTATTTTAATATGTTTAAAAACATTGAGAATTGTCAAGACATCAAATAGTAGATAATCACGATAAGAACTGAACTGAACTAAATTATGATGCAAGAAATAAAAGGATAATTGAAGGCCTGACGAGATATGCAGTGCAGACTGAGACAATCAGATGTCTTTCATAACAGAACAGCAACGCGACCTTGAATGACGACAAAACAACTAGCAAGTCGATTACATTATTATGTATATTGTAACTACTATGAATATTTAATTCTATTTTGTATAAATAAATACAAAATAAATTTAAAATCACGTGATTATTCTTGTTGTTTTCCATGCACAAAATATTTTAGTTTTATCAATCGTATTAATCAAAAAAGAACATAGTTGGTTTGGATCCAAAAAGGTGGAGAGACAAGTAAAAAGTAAACTTATATTAAAAAATATATAATTGACATATGGAGGAAATATGCAAAAACTGTAGGATTATCAGTCAATGAAAGCAAAACTCAGTATATGAAGATAAGTCGAAGAGAGGATATTAGGCCATCCCCCCTCAAAGTCTTTAACTACAATTTTAAACAGACAAAAGAATTTAAATATCTAGGAGTTACAATGTCTAACACTAACTTGGAAGATATTGAAATACAAAACAGAATTGCTGCTGGTGATAGAAGCTACTGGAGCTTAACAAAGCTTTTGAAAAACAATATATTATCAAAAGACACAAAAAAAGGATTTACAAAACAATGATACAACCGGTAGTGTTATATGGATCCGAAGTTTGGGCCCTGACAAAAAAATCTCAAAAAAAGCTAATAACATTTGAGAACAAAATACTACGGAGAATATACGGACCTGTAAAAGAGGGGGATGCATGGAGAATCAGAAAAAATAGGGAGCTGAGAGAGTTATATAAAGAACCAGATATTGTAGCTTTAGCAAGAAGCAGGAGACTCAGATGGCTGGGACACATCATAAGAAGAAGTGAAGAGAAAGTAGTAAAGAAAATCTGGACAGGAAGACCAAGTGGAACAAGACCCTTGGGAAGACCAAGAATGCGCTGGAACGACCAAGTTAAGGGTGATTTGGTGAAGATAGGAGGAGATTTGGGGATGGCGCACAACAGAGAAGAATGGAGGCGGCTAGTTGGAGAGGCTAAAACCCTTCTAGGGTTCGAATGGCCACAGGAGTAAGAGAGTAAGTAAGTATGGAGGAAATAGACCAAAACACTAAAATTAATAGAATAACACACAAAGTAAACAAGAAATGAAATAAAGAACACTATGAATTAACACTGTCACTCAATTTTGTTATCTAGAAGGGTCGGCGAACTAATCAATAATAAATAGCCAAAACCAGTTCCCTCCCCTTCTTGCAGTCTCACCACCACCCCTCCCCCCCAAAACCGGGAGGCCCAACACTTTGTCCTTGAAACACCCACCTCCTTTGTACCCCTATGAAACAATAAACCCTTACACCCGTGTTGCCGTTTTGACAACAGGTTTATGAATGCGATCACTATTTTTCATTTTCCAGAATTAACTATCAATTATTATTATTTGCAAGTTACAAATAGGAAACTACATCACATTATGGTATTCAATGACCCATGTATTATTATCAAAAATTAATAATTCATTACTTATCTATATATATAAAATCCAATGTATGTTTGTATGTTTGTATATTTGTATGTTTGTATATTTGTATGTTGGTCCTTTATGGACTCCAAAACCGCTCGACAGATTGTAATGAAATTTTCAGGCATTATTACGCATTATTCAAGGATGGTTTGTGTGAAGTTTGGTGCAGATCCATCAATAGGGCTCCGCCCCAGTGGCTCTGGAGTTTCCCATGTTAACCTTATGAGTACTCATATTTAAATGGAATTAAAGAATCTTAACAGCTGGTGCAACTAAACAATTTGATTCTGTGATGTTCAATAGCATTAACAAGTTAATAGGTTTACCAACAGGGTGCAGCACTATATTTATTTTTAATTTATGAGAACAGTTAATTTGCAACCAAAAGGTGAGTGAGCGTAGCGAACGAACTTCAACCTGGAGGCGAGTTAGCGTAGCGAACGAGCTAACCTGAAGGCAAGTGAGCGCAGCGAACGAGCTCCAACCTAAAGGTGAGTGAGCGTAGCGAATGAACTTCAACCAGGACGTGATTGAGCCATGCGAACGAGCTCATCTTGAAAATGAACGAGCATATGACATAAAACCACAATATGACAGGACGACGTCTGTCGGGCCAGCTAGTTTTGATAATAAAAAGCATTCACTACAGCACGCACCACTTATTGATACATATATTCATCAAGGTAACTGTTACTTTATACAAAATAAAAAAAAGGTACAAAATTGTGTGGCCAGTCAAACTTTATAAACAAACATTTTCTATATATATAAAATCCAATGTATCTTTGTATGTTTGTCCTTTATGGACTCCGAAACCGCTCGACAGATTGTAATGAAACTTTCAGACATTATTAAGGATTATTCAAGGATGGTTTGTCTGAAGTTTGGTGCAGATCCGTCAAAAGGGCTCCGCCCCAGTGGCTCTGGAGTTTCCCATGTTAACCTTATGAGTACTCATATTTAAATGGAATTAAAGAATCTTAACAGCTGGTTCAACTAAACAATTTTATTCTGTGATGTTCAATAGCATTAAAAAGTTAATAGGTTTAGCAACAGGGTGCAGTACTATTATTTTTTTTAATTTCTGACAACAGCTAATTTGCAATCAAAAGGTGAGTGAGCGTAGCGAACGAACTTCAACCTGGAGGCGAGTTAGCGTAGCGAACGAGCTCCAACCTAAAGGTGAGTGAGCGTAGCGAACGAACTTCAACCAGAACGTGATTGATCCATGCGAACGAGCTCATCTTGAAAATGAACGAGCATTTGACATAAAACCACATTAGGACAGGACAACGTCTGTCGGGCCAGCTAGTATTCTATAAAATACATATGGTAAATAGGGGTTGGTTCAAAGGAAATAAAATACAAAACAGATAATTAATTATTTCGATTAACATTAGAAAGGTTATAGGATTGATTGAACCTCAGAGTAATAAAACAAAAAAAAAACTTTTGTTATAATTTGTTTATAATTATAATTGTTTATAATTTATAATTTGGTTATAATTTGTAATAATTTGTTATATTTTGTTATAGCAATAAAACTTTTGTTTTATTACTCTGAGATTGAACTGAAATAAATGCAGGGAAACTTATAAGTAGAAAAGTCTTCAACCACAATCTGTTTCATCAGTACATTGTTAGAGAGAGAGAGAGAGAGAGAGAGAGAGAGAGATAGCAGATAGGGGCGTTTGAAAAGGAATCTGAAAAAGTAAACAAACAAGGGACAACGACACGACACTCGTTTACAGCCTTATTGTGTCGCCCACTACATTTGCACACGTGACCACTTTTTGTTTCTTCCTTATCTTTCATCCGTCCCAAAATAGAATTCCTGAAATTGTTTGTTGTTATAATCTCCCCTCCCACACAAGGCGCAGTGCTCAGTGCGCACTGTAGGTTGTCACTGAAACCGTGTGTCGTCATAGCAACAAGCCAATCACGCACTCGCACTGCGTTGTATATTACGATACGAATAGCTGTTAGAAGGACAACGCGATAGGTGGTCGTTTGTCTCTTTTCTTTCCTATCTCCTAAAAATTACGATCGATAATCATTGCGTCTTGACTGAGCTGAGGTTCGTGCTTATCAAACCTCGAATGCATGAACAACGTAGAATTGTGATAACATTGTTTTCAATTATGACCCAAATTAAGTGTTTTGACTTTGTATTAAAAGCTCGGCTCGAACTTCGAGCTTTTTCAAAATGCCTCGAGCCGAGCCGAATAATGAAAAGCTTGAAGATTTGAGTACTCGCACACCCCTAAATGAAATATTTTATGAAATAGTTCTATGCGGGGATGTACCATGTTTAGGAGCTCACCTGTAAAAGTGTACAATCTGAAAGTCAGCAAAGACATTTCTATGCAAGGACACATCTCGTATCCAAGCATTGACCATGTGACGAAGGACACGGAAGGCGCCACTGCTCAGTGCTGTCTCGTCATAGGTTGGCAACACTGTTGTCTGGCCTCCCACCATCTCGTCTATTGAGGTTTGTGGCATCAAGTCAAATGACACACTGGAACTGGTACCTGGAGACATTGTGAAGTTTTTTATATGTTTTAAGAAAGATATTACAAGTAAAACTTATAGACTTTATCGTACAAATAGTCATATGCAAATTTATTTTTAGAAGAATACGTCAAGTTAACAAATAACTTTTTTAATATATAAAAAAAGATGGCTCAGATTCTTTAATTTTGATTTTGTTGTAGAGTCTCGAAAACCCAAACAAAACCAATAACACTAAGTCAATAACTTGACTCAAGAGATAGTCTCATTATTTACTCGCTCAAACAATGGCAGAAATGTCTCTAGCTTTGCTAATACAGTAGAGTCCAACTATTCCAAACTAACTGGAACCAAACCCTGTCGCATTAGAGGGAATTCCAAATTCGCGGAGGTCTAATAATGTCAGTCTATCAATGGTGGTTGCAATTGACATAAAAATGTGTAGCTGCGATCGTGAGAGATGTTGACAATATAGCTACGTCTTAAGAGATGATGAGGATGTTGCGGAGTATGTGGGAGATGATAACAACATTGCAGCAATCGGAGGAGACGATAACAATTTTTATTTTATTTTTATTTTTGTGTATTGAAAGGTTTTCTAATGTTCACAGAGACATATCTAATTTCGGGGACTAAACTGGGAACATTGCCAGTTATACTTTCGGTGATATTTGTAGTATCATCTCCAGATTCTGCTACGTTCGCGCCAACATTGCGAATTAAGCCAACGTTCGTTGTATTGGTGTATTTTTGACCATTTGTGGAGATATTTAGCTAGCTTTGTCGACACTCTTCATCATAAATTGACTCTAGGGAATTTCAGACAACATCGATAGCCTTACTGAAGTTTGGTAAATCGTGACCACAATCTTTAACATTGAATGAATGAATTAAAATCCTTCTTTATTGAGGCAAACTTAGAACCTCATGGCCCTTTCTTACAATTAACCTCTAAAAAGCTAATACAACAAAATATTAACAAAAAGTACAACAAAGTTTGTAACATAAATAAATAAATAAACATATAAACATAAATAAAATAGCATAAATTTATTCATCTTCCCTTACATAAAGTCACACCCACATACACCCTTTGCTGCATCTAGGCTTAAGGCACGCCATCCCCCTAAGCCACCGCCATCCGGTCAAGGTTATATTCTTTCAGCCCCACCATCAATCAGTCCGGATCGGTTTTCTATGGATTTGATTTAAATTCTATTTATTTATTCAACACAAACACAATGACAAAGGGCATTTTAACACTAAGCTACATAAGACTTGTTAACCTCAGCTCAGTCACGATCGATTGTCAATGTCCCTTCATGTTTATGTAATGTGTGTCCGTTCCGTGTTATCGTGTTTTGGATATGTTTTATTTATTGAACTCTGTTTATTAACGACCTTCGAATTAGAGAAAACTTTAAATGGGGGACATTCCTTTATTTTTTGTGGTGCAGTTAAAAAAATGACTAGTTTTTTTTCGAAATTCAGCTGCCATTTTCCAAAATGGTGGCCACATTAGAAATTTCTTATGGAACACCCTATATTTTATCATGTTTTACGATAGAACATGCAATTTAAAAACATTTTTATTCTTGACATTTTTTTGATAAACCCTCTCGTTTAGGAGTTACAGCCTATGGAAAAATGACTTCCGGTGTACATTTTACATCATATAGCTCCTAAATAAGTAGGTTTAAAACAAAAATGTGAAGAGTGAATAAGTCTTAAAATTGCATCCACATTCCAAAAAGACATCATAAATTGACTCTAGGGAATTTCAGACAACATCGATAGCCTTACTGAAGTTTGGTAAATCGTGACCACAATCTTTAACATTGAATGAATGAATTAAAATCCTTCTTTATTGAGGCAAACTTAGAACCTCATGGTCCTTTCTTACAATTAACCTCTAAAAAGCTAATACAACAAAATATTAACAAAAAGTACAACAAAGTTTGTAACATAAATAAATAAATAAACATATAAACATAAATAAAATAGCATAAATTTATTCATCTTCCCTTACATAAAGTCACACCCACATACACCCTTTGCTGCATCTAGGCTTAAGGCACGCCATCCCCCTAAGCCACCGCCATCCGGTCAAGGTTATATTCTTTCAGCCCCATCATCAATCATTCCGGATCGGATTTCTATGGATTTGATTTAAATTCTATTTATTTATTCAACACAAACACAATGACAAAGGGCATTTTAACACTAAGCTACCCTCACTCACTTGACTTGTTAACCTCAGCTCAGTCACGATCGATTGTCAATGTCCCTTCATGTTTATATAATGTGTGTCCGTTCCGTGTTATCGTGTTTTGTATATGTTTTATTTATTGAACTCTGTTTATTAACGACCTTCGAATGAAGTGATTACTTGACACCTTGAGGCCTGAAGATGGTTCAGAAGAACCGAAACTAGTTACCAAAATCAGCAACAAAGGATTACTATATGCAGGTATTGTAAGCCATTTTAAATCAGTTTTAATGTCTTAAATGGTAAGTAATCTTGTAAATGGTACAGTTTTGAGGCACATGCTTGCATTTTTTCTTTTAAATATAGTATATGAGGCTATGAGCATCCCATTTCAAATTATGATCTACAATTATTCCTAAATATTTAAAGCTCTTTGCTGGTTCTATTGCCTGACATTCATATTTTTCTTTTAAGTATGTTTTACTTTGCAGACAATTTTATGCTATAACTGTAAGTTTTTTTTATTGTAAAAGGGGGAGTGCATAATGCATTATTTTAGATTTCTTATAATTTATGCTTAATCCATTGTCATTACACCATTTTCATATTTCTAAAAAATCTGATTGTGTGTATCTGACTGTGTCTTCTAAATTTTTGGTTGACTTCACCAGTACTGTATTATCAGCATACATGTGTATCTTCCTTTTTCTTTTTATCTCTGGCATTTCATTTACATTAGTAAGTATAGGAATGGGAAAAGGTATGGAGTTCCATAGGCGGCATGCTGTTACTAAAAATGATTTATAATAAACAGTTGTTCTGTGATGAGGCATGCGAAGCGTGGACGAGCCAAAGAGGGCCTCTTGTGCCTCATTTATTCAAAAATTTAAAATTCTTCGCAAGATAATTTTGGAGTTCCAATATTGATTCGATCCTGAGAAAAGTCAGTAGCTTTTTAATGGTTTGAAACTGGACCCAGCTGTTCCTGATCATTGGGCTTTAAATATATGATCCTGGCTAATGAAACAGCTGATCTTAGTCAAATCATCTCACACCATTCTACACTCATCCTTCACTCATATTTGGGTAAAAATACGCACCTAGGTGGCATCCCCATCTCAATGATTGATAATTGATAATAATAATTAATGGCTGAGTTAGTAATGGAAAGTATTTGTATTTTTGTGATATCCTCTAATTTCAAAATTGATTCATTAATGTAATAGGGTGTGACATGGTCATCACGCCTAAGATTGAACAAGAATCAAATACAATAATTTTGTACACATTGTAATGTTGTTGCCAAAGTCACAGTCATATCATTAGCCACAGTGTTGCAATAGTTTACGAGGTGGAAACACGAGTAATTTGACCACTAAGAGTTTAATGTGAAAATGTAGAATTCGTTGCATATTCTTCAGTGTGTGAACAGTGGCAAACACTCTTTTACAAGTATTTACCACCGTGTCAGTCCAGTCCAATGTGCGGTTTAAAGTCAAACCAAGACTTTTTACTTCGCCAGCAGATGAATTAAAATCCATGTTTAAGCCCCTGAGCTGTATAATAACTAAAATAGGCTTTACCTTCGTCACTGCAGCTCAAATTCTTGTGGTGTAACTACGTTACGGCCGTTTCGGCATTACAATACCATCGTCAGACTACAAAAACACAAACTCGGCTGAATTAGCGTCCTTGAAGTTTAAACACGTAGTCGGTTTTTGCTCGGAACGGGAACATGTCACCCGTTAATACGACAGGCCTGTTCGGTTTTTGTAAATATTTTAAATGTATGTTATTGTTCGTATGTGTTACGTGTTTAAACTTCAACGACGCTACTTCAGCCGAGTTTGTGTTTTTGTAGTCTGACGATGGTATTGTAATGCCGAAACAGCCGTAACGTAGTTACACCACAAGAATTTGAGCTGCAGTGACGAAGGTAAAGCCTATTTTAGTTTTTTACTTCGTCCTGGTATTGCATATTGGTTCTGTTTACAATGATTTTTTGTAAAAAGTCTAAGCCCACTTTGTTGAGGAACCATAAGTGACCTATGATGATTGGCTTTGTTTTGTCAAGATTGAGTCTTAGTCCGTCCCTTCTCCCCATTGAACAATTCTGTCAATGTCGTAATTCATCAAGTGTATAGTTTCATTTGCATAGTTCACTTTAAAATGAGAATACATTTTGGATGTCATCAGTGTACAAATTAAACTTAACATGGTACTGTACTGATAACATTGATGTAAATCGTGAAAAGCAGAAGACCAAGAATTAAACCCTCAGGAGCTCCGCAGGGAACATGTCTCAAGTCGGACGTCAAGTTGTCATGACACATACACTGCTTTCAGCTCTGAAGATATGATCTCATCAATTTTAGTGAATTGTCAGAGAAACCTAAAAGTTGGAGTTTGGCTAGAAGAATGCTATGGTTTACGGTATCAAAGGCTTCACTGAAGTCAAATAATGTTAAGATAGTACATTGGCTACAATCCATAGCAAATTGTATGTCATCAGTTACATGAAGCATTGTGCTGTAATATTTATGAAAACCTGATTGAAAGCTATTGAGGATGTTATTTTGTGCCAAGAAGTCAGAAACTTGGGAGTGAACGACTCTTTCTAGTGCTTTAGAAAGAGCGAGAAGAATGCTAATTGTTCTGTAGTATTGCAGAAGCGATGGGGATGAGATTTTATTCAAGGGACGGACAAGCGCAGACTTCCACTTTTCTGGGAAAATACCTGATCTCAATGAAGTATTGAATATGGAAGTTAATGTTGGGAGGAGATCAAACAAGATACGTTTAATTAAAGAAATTGGGATTCTGTGAGAACCAGTGGTGTCAGATGTTAACCGGCTTAAAGCCTCCCAAACATTGATTTGCAATATTGAGTTGAAGTTAAACTTAGTGATGGAATTTTGCAAGAGACCTAATTTTAAATCAGTTAAATGGTTCTAAACTATTGTACCGTTTTCCTGTGATGAGAGGTATAATTTAGTTTGTTAAAAATAAAAAGTTTTATACCTATGAATTCAAAATAATTTTTCACCTTACTTAGTCTAGCAAAAGGTACATGAATCAAGTGAGAGCTTCTCAAGAGATGAGAGTATGAGTGAACATTTTCATTTAAAAATAACTACTGAATTTCCTTTGTATATACAACATATATAGGAAGATGTACATATTTAAAACAGTCATTATTTTACAATCAACAAAAATAGGCCTGCAGTGAGCTAAAAAGGGTGCATTATTGACAATTCTAACAGCTCCCTTCTGCAAAATCAAAACATCATAGACATTACTGCCATTACACCAGATAAGAAGGCCATAGGTCACGAAACTCTGGAATAGAGCAAAGTATTCCATTTTAAGGTAACTATAATTTCAACACAATCTTTTAATTTCCTCAAGAGGTAGATGACCCTACTGAGTTTTTTGCAGACATTACTGATTTGGTGGTTCCAAGACAGTCTAGAATCAAGAGTGATACCTAGAAGGTTAACAACCTTATTTTTATTGTACTAAGAACTCTAAAAAAATATACAATTTTTTGTGTTTTCTCTAAATTCAGTAACAATAAATTTGATTTATACCATTCATTAGCTTCGTCATGTGACTTAATTTAAAATCAATTTTGTTAACATTTGAACTTGAACCAAAAAAGTTACATCGTCTGCAACATTACAGAACTATAGCTAACATTGTGCTCCAGATCATTTATCATAATTAAAAACAATAAAGGCCCAAGAACCGTCCCCTGTGGTACACCAAAGTTGACCTCAGATAGTTGAGAAAATTTGAATTTGCAAAAACTTTTTGTTGCAGATTACTGAGGAAGAATAAAAAAAAAATTTAAACATAAATTATTCCATAAAATTCAAGTTTTTTCAAGAGGATCGTGTATACAGGGTGAACAACTCAAGGAGGCCACCATTGGGATATCGGAAACGGTAAGAATTAGAGAAAACTTTAAATGGGGGACATTCCTTTATTTTTTGTGGTGCAGTTAAAAAAATGACTAGTTTTTTTTTTTAAATTCAGCTGCCATTTTCCAAAATGGTGGCCACATTAGAAATTTCTTATGGAACACCCTATATTTTATCATGTTTTACGATAGAACATGCAATTTAAAAACATTTTTATTCTTGACATTTTTTCGATAAACCCTCTCGTTTAGGAGTTACAGCCTATGGAAAAATGACTTCCGGTGTACATTTTACATCATATAGCTCCTAAATAAGTAGGTTTAAAACAAAAATGTGAAGAGTGAATAAGTCTTAAAATTGCATCCACATTCCAAAAAGACCATAACATTTGTAAAAATATTAATTCTATTATTTCAAAAACGGCGGCCATTTTCCAAAATGGTGGCAAATTCGAAAATTGGATATTTTTTGTATTTTATGGTCTTTATGGAATGTAGATGCAATTTTAAGACTTATTTACTAAAAAATAATACAAAAAATATCCACTTTTCAAATTTGCCACCATTTTGGAAAATGGCCGCCATTTTTGAAATAATAGAATTAATATTTTTAACGAGTTTTGTAGTCTTTTTGGAATGTGGATGCAATTTTCAGGGTGTCTAGTTTATTTCCATTATAAAATTCAAGACTAATTCCAGACTTTTCAAGACTAATTCCAGATTTTTCAAGACCAGTTTTTTCAACAATTGGTGGGTGTTGATACCAAAATGTATCGATTCTCGATTCTTGATACCGATACCAATTTTTATAGCTTAACCAAATTTTCTAAATAATACTACACCAACCCCTGTCTTTGTCATAAAGAAGTATTATGATAATGTGGTGTTTTCAAGTAAAGAAATAATGCAGCAATAAAAAATTCTAACTAGCAAATTTGGTTTTTTTTATAATGAAATCTTCTGTGTACCGTACGTTTAGACATCATCATTGACTGCAGCGGTTACAGAAACGTGATGGTCGTCGTCCGCGATCACGGCAAAATCATGAACATTTCCCGCGACCTTGTAGACATCAATGACATCATTGTCGTCTCCCGCGGTCTCAGAAACGTCATCGTTATCGTCCGCGATCGCGTCAAAATCATGAACATTTCCCGCGGCTGTTTAGACATCACCGTCATCTCCCGCGGTCACGGAAACGTTATCGTCGACGTCCGCAATCACGGCAAAATCATTAGCATTTCCCGCGGCCGTGTAGAAATCATCGACGTCCCCCGCGGTCACGGAAACGTCATCGTCATCTCCCGCGGTCGCGGAAACGTCATCGTCGTCTCCCGCGGTCACGGAAACGTCATCATCTCCCGCGATCGCGACAAAATCATGAAAATTCCCGCGGCCGAGCAGATATCATTGTCGTCTCCCGCGGTCACGGAAACGTCATCGTCATCTCCCGCGGTAACGGAAACGTCAACGTCGTCGTCCGCGATCGCGGCAAAATCATGAACATTTCCCACGGCTGTTTAGACATCACCGTCGTCTCCCGCGGTCACGGAAACGTCATCGTCGTCGTCCGCGATCGGGACAAAATCATGAACATTTCCCGCGGCCGAGCAGATATCATCGTCATCTCCCGCGGTCACGGAAACGTCATCGTCGTCTCCCGCGGTCACGGTCACGTCATCGTCGTCTCCCGCTGTCACAGAAACGTCATTGTCGTCTCTCGTGGTTTCGGAAACGTCATCGTCGTCGTCCACTATCGCGGCAAAATCGTGAACATTTCCCGAGGCCGTGTAGACATCATCATCATTGGCTTTCGCAGTTACGTAAACGCAAGACGACGATCGCGCAAAATCATGAAAATTCCCGACTTTGAAATCAAATTTAAGACTAAATCCCGACTTTTCAAGACCGTTTTGAAATTCAATACTAATTCCCGACTTTCCCGATTTTCCCGACTACTAGACACCTGAATTTTAAGACTTATTTACTCTTCACATTTTTGCTATAAACCTACTTATGAGTATACTCATCGACAGGTATTGGACAACTCATTAGCATTCACTTTAAATCCAGGTGCAATCCAGGAGCTGCATGATGTAAAATGTACATTGGAAGTCATTTTTCCATAGTATGTAACTGCTAAACGAGTGGGTTTATCGAAAAAATGTTTTTTAATTGCACGTTCTATCGTAAAACATGATAAAATATAGTAATGTCATATAGTAGTGTAGGGTTCACTAATATAGATAGTAGTGTGTACCTTCCATATCATTGACATGGTGTGACTGAAGCAAAGTGTTGACTGCTAAACTGTCCAGATCCAGCTCCACACAGACAGTGGAGTAGCAGCCACTGTCGTTGGTCACTACACTCGTGCTCTCCTCCAGCTCTGTTAACAATCTGCGGCATAAAATACGAACAGGTAAAAACTGTCCAGGTCCAGCTCCACACAGACAGTGGAGTAGAAGCCACTGCACTGTCGTTGGTCACTACACTTGTGCTCTCCTCCAGCTCTGTTAAAAATCTGCGGCATAAAACACGAACGGGTAAAAACTGTCCAGATCCAGCTCCACACAGACAGTGGAGTACCAGCCATTGTCGTTGGTCACTACACTCGTGCTCTCCTCCAGCTCTGTTAACAATCTGCGGCATAAAACACGAACAGTTAAAAACTGTCCAGGTCCAGCTCCACACAGACAGTGGAGTAGCAGCCACTGTCGTTGGTCACTACACTCGTGCTCTTCTCCAGCTCTGTTAACAATCTGCGGCATAAAACACAAACAGGTAAAAACTGTCCAGATCCAGCTCCACACAGACAGTGGAGTAGCAGCCACTGTCGTTGGTCACTACACTCGTGCTCTCCTCCAGCTCTGTTAACAATCTGCGGCATAAAACACGAACAGGTAAAAACTGTCCTGGTCCAGCTCCACACAGACAGTGGAGTAGCAGCCACTATCGTTGGTCACTGCACTCGTGCTCTCCTCCAGCTCTGTTAACAATCTGCGGCATAAAACACAAACAGGTAAAAACTGTCCAGGTCCAGCTCCACACAGACAGTGGAGTAGCAGCCACTATCGTTGGTCACTACACTCGTGCTCTCCCCCAGCTCTGTTAACAATCTGCGGCATAAAACACGAACAGGTAAAAACTGTCCAGGTCCAGCTCCACACAGACAGTGGAGTAGCAGCCACTATCGTTGGTCACTACACTCGTGCTCTCCTCCAGCTCTGTTAACAATCTGCGACATAAAACACAAACAGGTAAAAACTGTCCAGGTCCAACTCCACACAGACAGTGGAGTAGCAGCCACTGTCGTTGGTCACTACACTCGTGCTCTCCTCCAGCTCTGTTAACAATCTGCGGCATAAAACACAAACAGGTAAAAACTGTCCAGATCCAGCTCCACACAGACAGTGGAGTAGCAGCCACTATCGTTGGTCACTACACTCGTGCTCTCCTCCAGCTCTGTTAACAATCTGCGGCATAAAACACGAACAGTTAAAAACTGTCCAGGTCCAGCTCCACACAGACAGTGGAGTAGCAGCCACTGTCGTTGGTCACTACACTCGTGCTCTCCTCCAGCTCTGTTAACAATCTGCGGCATAAAACACGAACAGTTAAAAACTGTCCAGGTCCAGCTCCACACAGACAGTGGAGTAGCAGCCACTGTCGTTGGTCACTACACTCGTGCTCTCCTCCAGCTCTGTTAACAATCTGCGGCATAAAACACGAACAGGTAAAAACTGTCCAGATCCAGCTCCACACAGACAGTGGAGTAGCAGCCACTGTCGTTGGTCACTACACTCGTGCTCTCCTCCAGCTCTGTTAACAATCTGCGGCATAAAACACGAACAGTTAAAAACTGTCCAGGTCCAGCTCCACACAGACAGTGGAGTAGCAGCCACTGTCGTTGGTCACTACACTCGTGCTCTCCTCCAGCTCTGTTAACAATCTGCGGCATAAAACACGAACAGTTAAAAACTGTCCAGGTCCAGCTCCACACAGACAGTGGAGTAGCAGCCACTGTCGTTGGTCACTACACTAGTACTCTCCTCCAGCTCTGTTAACAATCTGCGGCATAAAACACGAACAGTTAAAAACTGTCCAGGTCCAGCTCCACACAGACAGTGGAGTAGCAGCCACTGTCGTTGGTCACTACACTCGTGCTCTCCTCCAGCTCTGTTAACAATCTGCGGCATAAAACACGAACAGTTAAAAACTGTCCAGGTCCAGCTCCACACAGACAGTGGAGTAGCAGCCACTGTCGTTGGTCACTACACTAGTACTCTCCTCCAGCTCTGTTAACAATCTGCGGCATAAAACACAAACAGGTAAAAACTGTCCAGGTCCAGCTCCACACAGACAGTGGAGTAGCAGCCACTATCGTTGGTCACTACACTCGTGCTCTCCTCCAACTCTGTTAACAATCTGCGGCATAAAACACGAACAGGTAAAAACTGTCCAGGTCCAGCTCCACACAGACAGTGGAGTAGCAGCCACTGTCGTTGGTCACTACACTAGTACTCTCCTCCAGCTCTGTTAACAATCTGCGGCATAAAACACGAACAGGTAAAAACTGTCCAGGTCCAGCTCCACACAGACAGTGGAGTAGCAGCCACTATCGTTGGTCACTACACTCGTGCTCTCCTCCAGCTCTGTTAACAATCTGCGGCATAAAACACGAACAGGTAAAAACTGTCCAGGTCCAGCTCCACACAGACAGTGGAGTAGCAGCCACTATCGTTGGTCACTGCACTCGTGCTCTCCTCCAGCTCTGTTAACAATCTGCGGCATAAAACACAAACAGGTAAAAACTGTCCAGGTCCAGCTCCACACAGACAGTGGAGTAGCAGCCACTATCGTTGGTCACTACACTCGTGCTCTCCCCCAGCTCTGTTAACAATCTGCGGCATAAAACACGAACAGGTAAAAACTGTCCAGGTCCAGCTCCACACAGACAGTGGAGTAGCAGCCACTATCGTTGGTCACTACACTCGTGCTCTCCTCCAGCTCTGTTAACAATCTGCGACATAAAACACGAACAGGTAAAAACTGTCCAGGTCCAGCTCCACACAGACAGTGGAGTAGCAGCCACTGTCGTTGGTCACTACACTAGTACTCTCCTCCAGCTCTGTTAACAATCTGCGGCATAAAACACAAACAGGTAAAAACTGTCCAGATCCAGCTCCACACAGACAGTGGAGTAGCAGCCACTGTCGTTGGTCACTACACTAGTACTCTCCTCCAGCTCTGTTAACAATCTGCGGCATAAAACACGAACAGGTAAAAACTGTCCAGGTCCAGCTCCACACAGACAGTGGAGTAGCAGCCACTGTCGTTGGTCACTACACTAGTACTCTCCTCCAGCTCTGTTAACAATCTGCGGCATAAAACACGAACAGGTAAAAACTGTCCAGGTCCAGCTCCACACAGACAGTGGAGTAGCAGCCACTATCGTTGGTCACTACACTCGTGCTCTCCCCCAGCTCTGTTAACAATCTGCGGCATAAAACACGAACAGGTAAAAACTGTCCAGGTCCAACTCCACACAGACAGTGGAGTAGCAGCCACTGTCGTTGGTCACTACACTCGTGCTCTCCTCCAGCTCTGTTAACAATCTGCGGCATAAAACACAAACAGGTAAAAACTGTCCAGATCCAGCTCCACACAGACAGTGGAGTAGCAGCCACTATCGTTGGTCACTACACTAGTACTCTCCTCCAGCTCTGTAAAAGCCTTACTTACTTTTTACACCTTACCTTCACTCCTGTCTTCAAGCTAAATCTGAGACAAGCGTTACCGTTCAACAAATAATCTGGGTCGTAGTAGCTATACTAACCTGTTGTCATCAGCCTCCCGGCCACCCAGATCAGGCTTGTCTGTAGAGGAACACCACAACACGTAGTTGTGTTTCAACAGGTGTCTGGCATAGAAGAGGTCCGCCCCAAACAGAGTGGGGTCTGGAGGCAAGTTACCCAGCGGGATGTGGAAGTATCTGCACTGCTCTGTGGCGAGCTGCAGACTTGTCTCCATGTTGAGGTAATGTTTGACCATGATTTTGGCTCCAACACGCTGCCAGTCCAGGCTCGAATATAGTGAATCCAAGTCCTGGGAACAATCATATTATTTTCCAATCATAAAACCATAAAACAAATTTTAAGTAAAAAATTATATCTTTGTTTGGAAAAAATACTCACAGGACAAATTTATGAAAACAGAAATTAACACTAAAGTAGAATAAACTATAGTCCTCGCAACCCTAACGTGGGGCAGCCCAAGGCCGCACTAGATATACGGCGTGCAGCCTTGGGCTGCCTCAAGTTAGGGTGGCGAGGACTATAGATGCACAGGATTTAGTAAATTCAACCAGTGAGAGATTTCAAAATAGCCTATGGTGTAGAGTGTTTTGGTTTTTGATAGGAAGAGCAAACTTACTTGTACAGTGGGCGAGTCTTCTCAATAGGTAACACATAAACACACGTACACACAAAATTAACATGTTTCTTGGTCACTGACCCCTCAATCTCAGAGAATGGAGGATTGACAATGAGGTCAGTCACCATGAAATATTTCAATTTTGTTTGTGTTTATGTTTATTTATCTTTATTAATTGAGAAGATTAACCCACTGTACAGGTAAGACTGTACAGTGTATACAATACAGTTATACAACACAAAATCAAACTTATTTCGGTCTAGAGCTCTTTACCAAGAATACTTACAGTGAGACATGTTTCTTTAGGCCCTGACAAAGAGTCAGATAACTATCAGATAACCTGATACATAATAAAACAAACGGTATCAGTAATATGACACATACTTTCTACCATTAGCTTGTAAAAACCCTTTATCATGGGTATGCCGTGGGAGTAACTTTGATATTTTATAGTAAAAATCACAAAAGTTGCAATGACTTTTGAACTGTAATTTTACAGCAATGGGGGGTTGCATTATTTGGTTTAGAATTATAAGGACCATAACATACTAATTTTAATCCAAACCAACTATTTCAAACAAAAATGTCTGATATTTAATGGGGAAAATAATATAAGTAACAATAATTTCTGAACCGTTATTTTTAAAACAATGGGAGTTGTACAGTTTTTAAGAATAACATAATAAATTGTTATCAAAATTGTTTGGGCCACTTTTGATTCTTCTGTTATTTTATGGGTTTTTATGGAAAATCACCATTGTAAAAAAAAATTCCAAAAAGTAAAAAAAAAACCACCTGGAGATACCATGAATTAATACCTACATGATAAAATTTCATCAAAATATGACTAAAGGTTTGGTCTGTAGCTCTGTACAAATCACGAATACTAGAAAAATACCGGTATGGATCATAAACATAAACAAATGACGTTGTTGGCCCGAATCCTATACTAATAGCATTGAACATATGATTTGGCAGTTCCATTTAAGCAATGTTAAATAATGTTTATTTTCGGGCCAAAAACGTCATTTGTTTATGTTTATGATCCATACCGGTATTTTTCCAGTAATCGTGGTACAAATCCACACATAAAGACAGACACACACACACACACACACACACTCACACATTTGTACCTAAGACAGTATCCGAGGTCCTTGACGTTTCATACAGTATTTGAAGTCTCGTATTAAGGCAATGGTTTTAGGAAATGTATTAATATGTACAGTGCTGTCCACAACCCATAGATCATATAAATGACACCTTTTGAAAATAATGTTATTTTGACATTAACCTTTCCATTTGGGTTCGAGGTCTCGGCCACACATGTATGGTTGCAGTTCTCCAAAGTTTCGCTTTTGAGCCTTGTAAACACAATTATGATAGTTCCCCAGACTACTAAATGAGGGGCAACATTGCCATTCCATCCACAACAATGTGTGTTTATCCCAGACATAAACATGCGATAAGTGCTGTCCATATTCTCTGAGCTTAGTCATCTGTTCATTATCCTTTTGAATTCTAAACCGTTATATGTATTATGTTTTCTTGAGTTCTTGTGTTGTATGACACAATGTTTAAGCATACCTAGTTAACAAAATAACAACTCTTACCGTAGCTTTTGTTTAAGGTGATCGAAATGCACCAAAGTTACTAATGCAATGTTCTTTGTCAATTTGGTTGATTAAACGAGAAAAAACAATGACTGGTGTCGTTTTGTTATTTGTCGATTACACTACAATTTGCAAAAAGAGACTTTGAACAGAATCCAATTTTATTCATTATTTCTCGTGTTCACATAAACTTTCAGTGAACTGATGATTTGTCACTTATTAATGATACCATACTTCATTTAAATATTAATATCAGTAAACCAAACAATGAACATCTGTTTTTACATATAATTGTCTTAGCGAATTTCCCATATAGGAAATAGGCTATTAACGTAGGTCTCATGGTAAGACCTGGACCGATTTACTTTTTTGTTTTTAAGTCCCCACAGACCAAAAACACCATCCATTCAAAATTGTATATATATTTATATATGTGTCCATTAGCACGATAAATCGAGCAAAAATTATCCGATTTTGATGAAATTTTTGTATAAACATGTGAACCTACATTTATTTGAAACCAGTATTTCCCTTGGGCTACGCCCCATGAGCTTCCACATTTTCAATGTTTACATTTTGGAAGAATGTAATCAATGTAATCAATTGAAGTCAGCTGTAAATACTTTAATTTGACAGTTTGTTCAAAGAGCAAAGGTTAAGAGGTACAGGTTTTGCTACCAAGAGATTCAAAAGTTTTAGGATTATGAGAATAGTAGCAACAACATCTGATTACAGTTAAAAAAGGGGTTTGTTACGTATTAATAGGCTATATAGAATAGATTTTATATATTTACACATTTAAGAATAAAAATTAGGAAATATTTATAAATAAAAAAACTTTTTAAAATACCACGTTTTTAAACTAACTAAAAAAAAAGTAGAAACAATTTACAAACATGTAGAGAGAAAAAATATTGTAATATTCAAAACAAAAACTTGGGGTGCATGCAATAGGTGAAGATAGGGCCTAATAATTGTAAATTAGCTATTGCATGCGCCCCACGTTTTTAGTTTTAAACCTTAAGGCCGGTTACACACATATGCATCTCGCACCATGCGACTAGCATTTTTCTTGCTACTAGCGTGCATGCAGCTTGAAGACCAACCTGTGTTAATTAATTGGAGCTTACACACATATGCGACTGGCATCGTGCAGCTAGCGTGCAGCGCCACTCGGAACCGATCAGTCTGTGTTTTGGCGCTGCATGCCAGGGCTAGAGATATACATGCAGTGTGCATCTTCAGTTGACGCATGCGCATAACACATTTCCAAGTCACATGGCTATTGCTAAACTCTTATTCATAGACATACTATATACTGTGAAATGTGATAAAATAGACAGAATCACGCTATCCACTATTTTTTCGTCACAGTGATATCTAAGGTCACGTATTTTATAAATGTGTCAGAATTCATGCGGTACAACTTCTGAAACTTCTCTGGATGTTCCAAGAGCTGATCATGTATTGGCTACTTTCAACACTTAAGCGCTAATAAGGGGACACCCAATATTTTATTCGCCCTATAGCATTTCATCAGCCGATGACGACATCAACATTTTCCAATGAACTGAGCGTCAAAAAGCCTCACCTCTCTCATCTTTCTACTAGCACGTGCAACAACAATGCAGCGTGCATGCATCTCGCACAGTACTACTGGCATCAAAAATCCTCGTCGCAACGTGTGAGATGCATATGTGTGTAACCCGCCTTACAGTATTTTTTCTCTCTACATTTTTAAAAATTATTTTCTACTTTTTAGTTAGTTTAAAAACGTGGTATTTTAAAAAGGTTTTTTATTTATAAATTATTTTCAAATAATCTGACTACAATAATTACTTGAATCCTCGCACCAAGTTTGTGATTCTTACTGTGCGGCTCATTTAGCCGCACGGGATTCCTAGATTATAAAATATTAGTATGAGGACAAATTCAGACCTAGTTAGATTGCAATATGTTGAAAATTTAAATAAAGTCAACAAATTATGCATGCATAAAACGAGTCAATATTTTTTAGTGCTGCAATAACTAAGCGCTCTAAAGTTTGTTTGTGGGCGGAATTTTACCCCCGCGGATTTGGAAGCTAATGAAAATAGACTGAGCGTGATAAATTAGATTAGCAATAAAAACTGGAATTTTGTCCCCTGTCAAAATAAATTGCGTTTAGGCAACTGTAGATGTCCGGCCCGGATTTTTACCCCCTGGACAGATAAAGAAATTATTGAGAATGATATATTTTCTTCTCTCAGTTTTAATTTAATAGTAAACATTTTATTATTAAGTAGCCTTATCTTAATTTATTTGTAATCTCAACTAAGTAAACAGGTTTTGCTGTTTAATATTGATATTCGGGATTTGGGATTGGGGCCAACTGTTAGTTAATATATATGTATAATAAACTGAGTATCTCATTAAAATAATAATTGGGTGAACCTTTCTTAAACAATGTATTATATCACCGTGGAAAAACAATTTATTTAGTTTCCGTTGTACAATAACACATGCCTTTATGTTTCTTCAGGGAAAAACCATGAGCTATATTTATTGGTTTTTACTGAGAAAGGTCATCGAAATACCTGTTGTAAAATGTAGTTGAATGCATCCGGTACAAAATATTCGACCAATGTTTGTGTTGACTACTGAAAGGAAACCCATATGTTTGTAAATACATATTAACCAACAGTTTGCCCCAAAAATCAAATTCCGAAACTCGAATATAAAAATTAAAATTAAAAACCTGTTTGATTAGTTATGGTTACAGATAAATTAAGATAGCCTACTTAAGAATACAATGTTTAATATTAAATTAAAACTGAAAGGAGAAAATTAATCATACTCACTTATTTCTATATCTGGCCAGGGGGTGAAATTCAGGGGGTAAAAATCCGGGCCGTACATTTTGAGCTGACCTCATGAAGGGGGTAAAAGTCTGGGTGCAAAATTCCGGCCCATACACTCTAGGTTTTTATAATTTGATGTGTTCTGATTAAATTCACAACCGTGAAAATATGCATTTAATTCCACCTTTAATCCATCAAACTGATGGTGTGCAACTCGAAAGTTCGCGGCCGGAATTTTACCCCTGGTTTACTGAGGTCAGTTTTGCCCAGGGGATAAAAATCCGCTACCCCTGCTTTCCTATTTAATTTCTAAAGAATCAGTGTACCAAGTTTCAGTCACCAATGTAAATGGGAAGTAGGAGAGTTAGTGATGAGTGAGTGAGTCACAGTCAGTCAGTGAGGGCTTTGCATTTTATAGGTATAGATAGATGTATATATTTATATGAATTTGAACAGATGGTGTTTTTGGCCTTTGGGGACATCAAAATGAAAAAGTAAATCTGTCCCGGGTCTTGTCTTAGATACGGTAAAATGTATTTTGATTTTTTCATAGATTTTTGTCTGCGTTCAATATGATCGACAGAAGGGTTTTAATTAGGGAATGTCAAGTCTCGAAATTTCGGGAAATTTTAAATCTCGTTACACGAGACGAGATTTCTTTTTGGCCAAGATTTTTATCAAGACGAGAATAAAAAAAAAAAATTTAATTTAAAAACGCCTGCAGAAAGTCAATGCAATACCCGCAATACAGGAGCGTGTTGTAGTTGCGTTTCCTTTGGGAAGGCGTTCTTATTTAATTAATTCTTTAAATGTAAATATTACTTTCATTATTTAAATAATATTACTTTAATAACATTTGAGAAGTTTTGTTAAGTGTAAGCAGTGTGAGGAATGTTTTATTACTATAAAAAGTCAAAACAAGTAACTATTTTATAAAAATTAATATTGCTTTTATTTTATTATTTATTTTATTTTAGGATAAGTTGAACTCTATCCTAACTGATATCACTATGTTTTCTAATCGTAGGCATTTTTAATAAGTTAGGCGTGATTAATAAAAAAATGTTATGCTGATGTTTTTTAATAAAATATTGTAAATATTCTTGCCTATTATCATTATTTTTGTATTTAAACAGTCATCTAACAATGTTACAAAATCAGGTAAAAATTTTGAACGTGTATTTCCCGTTGTGTATGAGAAGGGAAATCCCGTCTCGATCTCGTCTCAAAATTTTATGAGAAATAAAAAATCTCATCTCGTCTCGTCTCGAACTAAAAATCCACTCTCGTCCATCCCTAGTTTTAATTTTTGAAATATGATATCTATAGTGGAATAGAATACAGAATAGGACCGAAACCAGTTCGAGTCGGGTGGGGCGGGGCATGCAGCATCCAATCAGCTTTTAGAAAACTGTCCACTGTTGCCAAGTTGTGCCACGCACTCAGTCTCTGCCCGATAGCCGACCTGTGCGTTTCTAGTATACCCTCCTGTTTTGTCAAGAATTCGTCTATGAACTGTGTTTCGCCCAATGAATACGGACAACAGTACGCGACGTGGACGACCACGAGTACACGTGAAACGTTTGCGATATCGTAACGTCGGACGTGGTGTTCCTTTACGTAATGCAAATATATTGATAGGCCTATATAAAAATGTCATTGTCCCTTAAAAATTTTATTTAAGTTTCATACGTCAATATTTTCTTTTGTAAATATTTTTATGTAACAATTTCCAGTGCAATGTAATAATATTTTCTAATAAAAATAGTTATGTCATTTTGGCAATAAATTGGCAGTTATGTTATCTATTTCCCTTTTTACCTGGTATGTTTTTTGAGGATTTCTAGAGTACCTACATACGAAGTTTTTTTTGTTATAGAAGAGTGATATATCGTATGACTATTTTAATGAATGCAACACATAACGTAATGTATGTAAACGTTAGTTCAATTTTCTTAAATTCAATATAAAACTAACGGACTTTTTTGTCAAATCACAATAATACAGAAATGTCTTCGTCACTGTTGAGCTACCTGTTCTCCGTAAGTTTAAGTTCAGTCGAGTGGCAATAATAAGATTAACGGAGTGAGGGTCACAATAGGTGTTCAAAGAAAGGCCTCTTTGGGGTAATTCCTAAACATTGACCAACTTCGTTTCCTAAACACAACCAAACTATTGCTGTAAATGTTTAATATGGAAGATTTTACCTTCTTCATTTCCATGTTAATTTGTTTTATGTATCAAACTATAAGCAGGGCAACAATTTACAAGATTTTAGCGAATTTCCCTATAGGGAAGTAGCTATTACCGTAGGTGGCACGGTAAGACCTAGACCCGGGACCGATTTAATTTTTCATTTTGATGTCCCCAGAGGCCAAAAACACTATTCGTTCAAATTTTTATATATGTATATATATATATATAGACATATATATATATATACGTCCGTGAACGCGATAACTTGAGTAATTTTTGTCCGATTTTGATGAAATTTGGTTTAAAGGTGTAAAGCGGGATAAACTTGAATGAGTTCGCGAACCAGCATGATCGGACCATGGGAACGGGGCTTTACGGGGGGTTTTATGGGGTAAAAATTGGTTTTTCTCACTTTTGACCCTCAAAACACAAAATTTCCCAATTTCTCTTTAGACCTTTTTAAAGAGCTTAAAAAAACAAATAATTTAGTATATGAAAGTATTTTTGTTCGATTATTAGTAACGGAGAAAATTAAAAAAATTGTAAATTTAAAATTCCCATGTTATTCTTATGGAGAATATTGTCAAATGTTGTAGTTTGCTTGTTTATGAATATATTTTGATCAAACTCGGCAAATTTATTTATTTTCTACTAAGCTATCAATATTTTACTCAAAAACACACTTTATTAGTTTCCTTGTAGCAGCAAACCTAGGTACTCGTTAAACCTAATGTTATTAAAATATATTTAACTGAAAATCAATTCAGACAAATGGAAATTCGCTTAGTCGGCAGGTTTGCTGCGGCGGGGGTATTTAGAACTGCTATAAAAGTTTTTGGACCATATGTATTCATTTGCTCTTATTGTTACGGTGATTTGTTTAAAAATTGGGGTTGACAAACGTTTGACTATAGGATGCTATAGGCAACATATTTCCAGAGACTTGTAAAGGTGACCCTATATAAAATGTATTTTCATTTTATATTTATTAATTGTATGTTAATATATTTTTCAAAAACTAAATCTAGTAGCGGTTTAAGTCATTAATTGTGCAAATAATCTATCCATAATCATGTAAGGGATGAATGTATCTTCCATGTGATATAAACATGACAACACTAACCGATACCGCCCAAAAATTAATAATTTGTAGTGTTATTAATTAATTATTAATTAAACTACCCTACAAGTGGGAAGACAGAGTCAGAGGGATGCCCGCGCCCGCTCCCCGGCTCTAGGTGAAAGTCGGCTCACCAGCCAAGAACGAAGTGGCAACGTCGCATCCCCTACCTCCTCACAGGCCAGTCCTATTCTGTATTCTATTCCACTATAGAAATGTTGACCAAAGTTTTATCAGTAATATTAAGGATTTGTATGATGAGTCAAAGATATAAGTGTCTTTTTTGTATCTACTAGCTCAACTGAGAAGTGAACCGCTCAAAATGTATATGAACAGGAAACAGATAAGCCGTGAGAACTCTTTAAACATGGAGACTACGTGTACAACCGTGGGAAATATTTTTGTAATCGAGTTCTAAGTTTCCAGATAAGCTGAGGACCGGAAATTCTGAGGCCGGATATTAGTGGTACTATTGTAGTCATATTAGATTGGTTTCATTGACGATACAATCTTGTTCACAAAAAGGTATTGGAATAGAATTCTTGAAAAAGATCAAATTTTTTTATAAAACACAGGAATGTCATTCTGTCTTAAACTATTAAATCGATTTAATGATTTGAATGGCATTTTACACGGGTTGTTATGTGCTTTAAAATTGTAAAAATGAATTTTTGTTGGATTAATACTTTTTTTAGTCATAAGAAAACAAATTTTACATGCACTCTATATTGTAGTATTTTGCGCCCAAAAAGCTTACCAATATTCAGAATTCTCACAAACTCATTGAGCAATAACTGGAGGAGAGAACATTGCATATTTCACAGTAAAATTGGGACAGAAGAAGCCACATGATGGATCTGATATATGGACCCATGTATCGCCACCTTGCTCTGTCCGCCTGGAGTGATAAATGCATGCAGGATTCACCCAAATGGCAAGCGTTGCGCCCACTCGCGCCAATAACGTGTTTGTTTTGTCGAAATTTTCAGAATACAATTCCTTGTAAGGGATGTGAGGAAGTTTTACAAGCATATATAATCAATCCAAGTATATTTACACACTCTTTACTGACTGTGTGTCAAAAGTAAATGTCATAAGGATATCCAGTAAAGTTATGAAATGGTTTAATTTTGGTACTTTCGTATTGTACAGAGGCCACCCTTATACAGCGCGCTGTGCGGTTATGTTAGGTCGTTATGTTAGGAACATTAAACTTAATTCCAAAGATAAAATCACAAAAAAATTGATACTAAGTACTCTAATATTCTAATGGAAATGATTGGTTATTAACATAACCTCTCGGAGAAGTGATTGTTAAATCCCCAAGTCAGTGGAAATGAGTAACACATTTTTACAATTTTTAATTTTCTTGTTAGGTTACTTCGAGTATTATAGCAAAATAAAATTTTTACATCACTTGTTCAAAATGTGTTTACCATACTTATATGTAATCCCTCACTTGTCTCGCACAGGAACAACCATACTCCTCCAGTAAACATCTATTTTACGGACTGGTAACGATATATGCTAATAAACAACATTATGACAAAATAAGCAAATACCATATCTTACCTGAATGTGGATGGGTACCAAGGGAAAGTCGTTCAGTCCTGGCATGTTTGATACAAGGGCTGGGATGTCTGCAGAAATGAACAACACTCAAATCAATAATGGATACAAACAAACCTAAAATTTTAATTGTTTACTATTTGGTTTTATATGTGAAGCATTAATGTCATTATATAAAGGAATAACTACTACTACTCCTGTGGCCACTCAAATCCAAGTTGATTTGTGGGCTCGCCAACAAGTTGTCTCCGAACTCCTCCATCTCTGCCTTGTCCGCTTCTCCACCAATTCTTCTTATATCTGCAGCCACTAACTGCTCTGTCTTAAACTTGGTCTTCCTAATAGGCGCCTTCAATCTGGTCAACCTCTCCACACCTGTCTTACATCTCCAGCCACTTGATTGCTCTAGCTTAATCTTGTCTTCCTAATGGGCGCCTTCTATCTAGTCAACCTCTCCACACCTGTCTTAGATGTAAGACAAACATTTCTAACAATGGCAATTTATATACAGGGTGTCCCGTAACTCTCTGGACATATGTATATAGCGTTATTCCTTAGGTCAAGACAAACACATTTCACCATAGGAACATGGGTCTGTGGGGTCTAGTTTACCGACTGTCGGTATTTATGTGTTTTTTACAAAAACACTAATAACTCCTAAACGGTTTGAGATACAGCTTTGATATTTTACAAAAATGTTTATCTTATTAAGACCTTTTATCGTTAGAAATTATACTAAAAAATCATTAACCGTTTCAAAATGGCGGCTATTTAAAATATTTGATGCCAAATTTCATGAAAACCGTTAACTTTACAAAAAAAGTGCAAGAGAGAAAAAAGTTTTGTTAATTTTATGTAGTTTTCAATGATACCTTATTTGTTAAGATTGGATAAATAATAACAGAGAAATGTCTTCTTTTCCAAATGCCTGACCACTTTTCTCCATTTAAACAATGCTAATACTCCTTTAACGTTGTTTAGCATTGTTTAAATGGAAAAAGGTGGTCATACATTACGAAAACAACTAGTTTCTCTGTTATTATTTATCCAATCTTAACAAATGAGGTATCATTGAAAACAACATAAAATTTACAAACTTTTTTCTCTCTTGCACTTTTTTTGTAAAGTTAACGGTTTTCATGAAATTTGGCATCAAATATTTTAAATAGCCGCCATTTTGAAACGGTTAATGATTTTTTAGTATAATTTCTAACGATAAAAGGTCTTAATAAGATAAACATTTTTGTAAAATATCAAAGCTGTATCTCAAACCGTTTAGGAGTTATTAGTGTTTTTGTAAAAATCACATAAATACCGACAGTCGGTAAACTAGACCCCACAGACCCATGTTCCTATGGTGAAATGTGTTTGTCTTGACCTAAGGAATAACGCTATATACATATGTCCAGAGAGTTACGGGACACCCTGTAGAAACAGTTGTCTAAATGCTAGTGGTCTCAAAGCAGTAGTAGTCCAGCATCTATAGGGGGTTGAGTATGCACTGAAAGTGTAACTCTTTTTGACTTTTGATTGTTGTTGGGGGCATCTTGGAGATGACAAAAACCGATGTTGTCGCCCTCCCAGCAGGTGCACAACTTGGGGGGGGAAGGTGCTCTGAGACGCGTTCTAGAAAATCGCTTATATCTCGTGAACTAGACACGATAGAAACCAGCTCTAAACGGAATTGTATTACCAACTTCATCTGCTTTAAAAAAGTATCCAGGAAAAGTCCAGTATCTATGATATTAGTTGAGTTATTTAACAATTTATTTAAAAAATTGAATAAAAACCCCTAAAAAACGTTAAATTATCCATTAAAACCCCTTTAAAACAACAAAAAGTACAGTTTTTCATCGTGCATAGTATTTTTCACACGCTAAAGTGACTTTATATGGTAATTATATCGAAATATTACAAGGTTATGCAAGGTTTCCGATGAAGCGGCACGGTGACGTGGGTGACGCCGCTGCGCGGCAGAAATCAACGTGTAGTACAGACTTGTAAAAATTGGGTATGTACCGAAAGTGTAACGCAATTTGACTTTTGATTGTTGTTGGGGGCACCTTGGAGATGGCAAAAACCTATGTTGTCGCCATTCCAGCAGGTGCACAACTTGGTGGGAGGGGGAGGGGAAGTACGGTAGCTCTGAGGCGCGTTCTAGACATCGCTCATATCTCGTGAACTAGACACGATAGAAACATGTTTTAAACGGCATTGTATTACAAACCGCATCTGCTTTAAATATTTTTCAATGAAAATCCCATATCAATGATAACAATTGAGTTATTTGACATTTTATTTGAAATTACAAATTTAAAGTCAAAATACCGTTTATCTGCCTATATAACTCTCATAAAACAATGAATAGTACTGCGTTTGGAGTGCATTCTATGTTCAACACACGAATTACAAAAAAAATAAGTGTACTGTACTTTCCTTAAAATAATATGTACGGAGTTCTCGAGTTTGCGAGAAAATAATTATAAGCTGTTTTTAACACTAGGCTATTTTAAATATAAAATTCAAACAAAAATCTAGGTACAACTACCAAAGAAAATGCTTCAGTTTGAAATGTATACGGTTTTTATTAAAAGAATATTAAAATAGACTTGGAAATGCTGTACTTCATTTTAAAACTTAACTACCATATAAACTACATATAAGAAAACAACGGATACTATTTCGGTCATCTTGTTTGAAACGGTCTTAATGATGAGGATTTCTACAATTTTTAAAACCTTTGCAGTAGGATCAGCAGGATTAAGAAGAAAAGGAAGCACCTGCAATGACAGCCGCTATATAGAAATCACAACTAATCCATCTGCCGTCAAGGACATTAGTAAAACGCCTTGCACACCGGACAGCTTCAAATTACACCTGTAACGGTGTAGTGCCCAACTATATTTTTTGGGAAAAGTCCTCGACAGCAGAAATAGAGCCTTTAGATCTATTCCAGTACGGATTTTTCAAAGACAGCTCAGGAAAAATTGCGCCCCCTTCTTATGACCCTGCCCCCGGCTCCTACAAATTTGCTAAAGGTATATGCAAGACTTGTTCTAGATCAACTTGTAGCTGCTTTTCAAACCAGTCATCCTGCTGCTCCTACTGAAAATGTTTTACAAATAGTAGAAATTCTCATCATTAAGACTGTTTCAAACAAGATGACCGAAATAGTATCCATTGTTTTCTTATGTGCAGTTTATATGGTAGTTAAGTTTTAAAATGAAGTACAGCCTTTCCAAGTCTATTTTAATATTCTTTTAATAAAAACCGTATACATTTCAAACTGAAGCATTTTCTTTGGTAGTTGTAACTTACCTAGACTTTTGTTTAAATTTTATATTTAAAATCGCCTAGTGTTAAAAACAGCTTATAATTATTTTCTCGATAACTCGAGAACTCCGTACATATTATTTTAATGAAAGTACAGTCCACTTATTTTTTTTGTAATTCGTGTGTTGAACATAGAATGCACTCCAAACACAGTACTATTCATTGTTTTATGAGAGTTATATAGGCAGATAAACGGTATTTTGACTTTAAATTTGTAATTTCAAATAAAATGTTAAATAACTCAATTGTTATCATTGATATGGGATTTTCATTGAAAAATATTTAAAGTAGATGCGGTTTGTAATACAATGCCGTTTAAAACATGTTTTTATCCTGTCTAGTTCACGAGATATGAGCGATGTCTAGAACGCGCCTCAGAGCTACCGTACTTCCCCCCCCCTCCAAACCAAGTTATGCACCTGCTGGAATGGCGACAACATAGGTTTTTGCCATCTCCAAGGTGCCCCCAACAACAATCAAAAGTCAAATTGCGTTAAACTTTCGGTACATACCCAATTTTTACAAGTCTGTACTACACGTTGATTTCTGCCGCGCAGCGGCGTCACCCACGTCACCGTGCCGCTTCATCGGAAACCTTGCATAACCTTGTAATATTTCGATATAATTACCATATAAAGTCACTTTTGACTTTAGCGTGTAAAAAATACTATGCACGATGAAAAACTGTACTATTTGTTGTTTTAAAGGGGTTTTAATGGATAATTTAACGTTTTTTAGGGGTTTTTATTCAAATTTTTAAATAAATTGTTAAATAACTCAACTAATATCATAGATACTGGACTTTTCCTGGATACTTTTTTAAAGCAGATGAAGTTGGTAATACAATTCCGTTTAGAGCTGGTTTCTATCGTGTCTAGTTCACGATATATAAGCGATTTTCTAGAACGCGTCTCAGAGCACCTTCCCCCCCCAAGTTGTGCACCTGCTGGGAGGGCGACAACATCGGTTTTTGTCATCTCCAAGATGCCCCCAACAACAATCAAAAGTCAAAAAGAGTTACACTTTCAGTGCATACTCAACCCCCTATAGATGCTGGACTATAGTAACTTATCTCGACCTAAATGAAGAAATAGTTTTGGTTTAGTTTTGGTTTGGAATGTATTTTGTTTTCCTACACTTAATACTTGTAAACTGGTAAGTTACCCATCTGAGACTGTACAGCCACCAGCGTTGGTCCCTTCTTCTCATCCCTGTAAGCCTGCAGTGCTCGCTGGATCTGTCTGCAGGCTTGGCGGAACTCCGTTTCAACTCTCACCTCAAAACTCAGCTCTGTTTCTGGCAACTCATCTGCACTCTTGCCTTTGCTGATCCTAATATGTGACCAATTTATGATTAAAGTTCTGTTACTCAAAGTATGTTACCAATTATTTATTTGTTATAGAAAATAACTATTATATCCTATGATGAAAAACTTGCAAGGGAGTGCAGTTTGAGGTAACGACGAATAATTTGATGACTATTGCAATAATTATAGCCTTTCTACAATCCAAAATAAGACGGTTTTGGTCAACCAGAAGCATTTACGAACAATCTAATAATAAAAAACTACAGAGTCGAAACACTCAAAATTTAAAAAAATTCTTTATTTTTCAGTATTATATTGGTGAACTTGAAGTTAATTAGTTAAAAGCGACGCACTGACAAAACCAAGTCGCAGCTAACTACTAGGGTCCGATAGATAAATAGGCGAAGATTAGGAAATAAAATAAATAACCAGCTCCTAGGCTTAACAAAAGGTCTCACTTCTCAAAATAAAACTAAAAATAATCTTCTCGGAATTAAAAGAAAACGACGCTAACTCGCTATAAGTAAATAATGAAATAAAATAAAACGTAGAAGGCGCATATGCCAATTCTTCTTGGCTTTAAGGAAAATAAATAAAAACTCTTGATTAAAATAAAATAAAACCGTTTTGGATGACTAAAAGTAGGCGTAGGTGACTGCGACACTACACTCGCAGCGTCGGTCGTTAAACTACGATAAACAGCCGAGAATAGCCTAATATATAACGTAATTTCCCTCACTAAAGTGGATACGAGTAGGGGTATAACGTATACGCTAGTTATAAACAGTGTACTTACGTATCACGATACTTCCTGATTCGCCTCTATGTTTCGCACGCCTTCGTCAGGATACTTTATGCTCGCTCGCACAGCCTAAGGAGGGTTGGTGTGCGCGAACCTAACGCTCGCCGCCGACTGCCCTAAAACCTCTACCTCCACGTCTACGTCAGCGCCCCGAGGTTGCGGCGGCCAAGTCACGAACTAGGAGACTTGACCTGCAGTGGACATGTTTGACATTGTTGTCAAGCGCGCTCAAGCCTTTGCGGCCTTTAAATAATTAAAACAAACCCCCCCAATAAAATGTGACCATTACACCCCCTTTTTACTTTGGCGAGAAAAAAAAAACCAACAAAAAAAAAGTTCCTGCCTACAGGTATCTTCGCTCGTACAAACACTTCTTCTAGTGGGCGAGGCGACAAACCATCCCCGCACCCAACGCTCGGCCCTTCTTCTCTGGCGGGGAGAACGCTCTCCTCTCACGCCTATACAAAAGAGAAGTATCGGCCTGTTCGTCTTTATAACGTCGGAACGCATAGCAGGATCTGTCATATTTGCGAAAGTCTCGTCTCCATACGGGCCAGTAATACTGTTTGCCAACTTTACTAGCAGTCTTTTTAACGCCAACATGCCCTGCCGCGGGAGAGTCGTGCATCTCCCCCACAACTGCTGTTCGCTCGTTTTTTGGAACACACCTCCTCCTCTGATCGCTACTATCACCGTCCGTATCCTTCCGAACGTTCAACCGAAATAGTTTGCCGCTACGAATAATGTATTTATCGAAACTACTGGGATTAACATTCACCTTGGTAAAAAATGTTTATCGTACCATCTGTCTGTGCCACCAGATCGTTCATTCAACCTTTCTGGATCACTCCCGGGTGTTTTAGCGTCCGAGTTAACGCATACTTGAATGGGACACACCACTGTCTCGATGGAGGTATGCTCGGCGACACCTTCTGCCTGTTGCGATAACGCACCAGCCACACTGTTGACGGTACCTGTCTGGTACTGAGCCTCAACACCGTGCCATTCGTTCACTCCATCAGCCGCGTCCGGTCTCGTATTCTCTACCTCCAAGTGGTATGTCACCAAGTTAAGTCGCTCTAAGCTATCGATCCCGAGAACTATGTCACTGGTAAGCGTGGGAAGATACAGAGCATGGACTCTTCCATTCGTCCTTTCAATAGACCTTTGAAGTGATAGGACTTGTCCGACTTCGAATAACTACCGTTGGCGAGTCTCACTACCATAGGAGTCAAAACAGACATAGTTCCAGACTGTTCCAAGTGACGTGCCACCGCCGTGCTGATCAACGTGACTACGGCACCTGTATCTATTAGCACGGCGAACTCTCGCCCTGCTATCGTCACCGATACATGCGGTCGTCTGTCGTTAGTCTGAATCTGAGCGTTCTTGGTTTCCGGGAATTTCTTAATTTTCTCTAACCAAGCGCACCAGTCCGGGGGGAGGTCTTCGTAGAAGGCACTACTGAGGATTCAGTCAACCTCATTTGGTATTTTCCTCGACACCGACAATCGTGGGTTCGGATACCCACCTTTTTACAATAGAAACACTTTAGAGTTCTTGGCATACGGCAGTCACGAAACATGTGACCTTTCTTGTCACAGTTCCAACATGTGAGGTACGATTTTTCTCTCATGTAATTCGGCCATCGAGGAACTGCGCTGTTTTCTCGGGGTGAACCTTCGCGCTCACGCTCCGAGTTACGTCGTGGTTTTGTAGATGACAAGGTCCTCGTAAAATTACCCGTCCGGGGGTTCGGAGAGTTCTCTCGTGACCTCCGTGGTCTTGCCTCTGACCTGAAGCCTACGCGCTTCTCGGTTAAACGTCCCGTCACGCCGTTTGATGACTGACACTGGCCAATCGTCGAAACTCCGAAATCATCTCCTGATTTATTATCGCGTCCTCGTCTCGGGTGATAAGCCGTTTCGGGGACCAACGCTGCCGACGGAGGGGGAGGGTGACGGAAAAGAGATTTTTCCCTAAAATAGCTCTCAACGTGTTCCGCTTGTCTGAGCATTTTGTCGACCGAGAAAGAGTTGTGTCTCCTCATCGTCAACTTATATTCGGGTCTCATATTCGTATACAAAATATTCAATTGTTCGTGGAGACTGAGGGTTCCCTTGCGTCGCATGAGAGTAGTTAAAGCCACAACAAAGTTTCTAAAAGCTTCGTTGTCACCTTGAGTCCGACGCCGAATTTCTTCGTCTAGATATCGCTGGTACCCCGGTGGTAGGAATTGTAGCTCGAAACTCGATCTAAAGGACTCATAATTATGCCAGGAGTCTTTATAGTTTTGATACCACAACAGTGCATTACTATGTAGTAGTTCGGGGAGTGCTCGTATAAAATCGTTCTTATTAATTTCGTAGGCCTCCATAAGCTCTTCCAGGCGTTCCAAGAAAGAAACGGGGTCTTTAGAGCCGTCAAAACGAACGTTCCACTTTCGAACTAGATTACACAACGCCGAGACATCAACACCAACCTTACGAACTACGTTAGGATTTTTGTGACACGAATGCAAACCACTACTGAATCTGTGATTCACACTTGCCTGTGTAGGAATACCTAGCTGTTCGCTCGCGAACCCACCGTACTGTCGCTGACCGGTACCGGACACCGTAGGTCGATGAATTGAATCTGTAGAGTGGGAAGTGTCGAAAGCATAGTTAACACGTGGTCTGGTTAGTGTACTATACACCATAATAAATATGTAAATGGCGGACATCAAAAAACGACAAAACAGGTTTTTTTTTTAAACGGCTACATTTCAAAAACAATAAGAGCTAGCCAAGATTTGAATGAATTTTAATGGTCAGGAATTAAATTTTCTACAAAACCCTCTCATGTGTTTTCCGAAAATTTCACCCCTTCACCCCTTAAAAATACGCCCTACTTTCAAAATTTGTTAAATATATTTCAACATTTTAATAGTATTTGCTATTTTTTCCTACCTAAGTAATTTTTTTTTTTAGATATTATTAATGCTTTGTAATCTCCTTACTTGGCTTTAAATTTTACTCATTACATGTTTTTTTCATAACTTTACTCCTTGACCCCCAAAATTTAAGTGTAATGTCAGAATTTGATATACAGGGTACGGCAAAAAAAACCGAACTATTTTTCGCAGCGTACTGTTCAGTGACAGGACGTCTGAGGGTGGTGGGGGTAGGCTCGTTTGAAAGCCTATTCAATGCCATTATGTGTAGTCATAGAGCAGTGGTCACCTGAGCAACACACATTTGTTATCAAAAAAACTAGTTTAACCGAGCAATCAGGCATGTTCAAAGCAGATGTTTGTTTTCGGGCGTGTCTACAAGGACTGTTTTCTACAGCAGCACAGACTCTTATCGAATGTTAGTTGTCTGACGTCCTATCTAACTTTGGACGGCTTGTCAGCTTCTTTTTGAACGCAGAAGCCATTGTTCTCAAGTTGGTAACACATCACATGATTGTGCCACTTGACGGAATTGACGTCGCCCTGATTTAAAAAAATACACGGATCTGCCGCTAAGTTGCAATGACTGAATCATTACTTTTTAAATTCAACTCGATAACAAATACACGATGCTCAGGTTCTATGACTGTTCCACTGTTCTATGACTACAGATAATGGCATCGTGTAGGCTTTCTAACGAGCCTAACCCCATCACTCTCAGACAACCTGTTACTGAACCACATAACTACTGTCGGCTACATAAAATAGATAGGTTTTTATGCCGCACCCTTTTACCACTTTTACGAGGTTATAACATAACAGATTCTTTACCTGTTCTATGGGCGCACGGGTATTGTAAACTGTACACAATTTACTGTATTAGAGCTAACACCATGGTAAATATTGAATTGCCCCCCCCCCCTTGTTTACCACCCTTATGGGGAATAACCTTGAAAGTGGCCAACTTTGGTATGCGGATCTAAAAGTTTAGAATCGTGCTAGACATTTAAAACGTTACAAGAGTGTACATTACCAAAAATAACCCTTACAATTTTCAAAACCTCCATTTTAAAGTTTTGGCCCCCCCTCCCGAAATTCAAAATGAAGGACATCTGAAAACCACACAACACGTTTTTTTAAACTTCAATAACTTAAAGCCCCCTATTTAATATTAACCCCCTATTTAATAAACCCATATAATTTTTTGTATGTAACCCATTCAACAAATAATTGAAACCCCCCCCCCCCCAACCAGTTTTTGAACCACTGTCTTTCATCAAGGTAAATATTTGAAATCTCTCACCGTTACTAGTCTTCGTTTTAAAACCAACGAATAATTTAGAAAAGTGTACACAATTTACAACCCCAACCACCGGAATCAACCCCCCCCCCCACTCTAGTTTTTCTGTATCAAAAACCCATTAGTTGCATTAAACTACAGTACAGTGCTTAGTATTTTACCAACTTCTTATTATTCTATTATTTTACTCAGTAACAGATTTTCTCTGGGGATATTTCCAACAATCCCCCAAACACCCTAGGGGGCCTGGGGGCGGAGCCCCCAGCGAGTCAAAGGCAAGTTGCACCTTTATACAGCCATTTCCTCAACCCTTCAGCTGTGAATGTGTTTTGCTATTTGCATTGTGTTACTCACTTTGCATTCTTCTCAGCAGTGATGACGGAGGAGAGGTTAGGCATCTGGTTGGTCCGCACACTGTCCAGGATAAGGACCAGAGCTTTCTTAGCAGCTGGCATGAAGAGGCCGATAAGCGCTCGTGGCCCGGACATAGCCTTGTGGTGGTACAGGAAGATGTGACGCACATTTTTCTCACCCTGTATGTCAAACAAAAACATTTCAGTTCCAAATACGTAACCAACAGAGAAATCCCCTACAACTCTCCATAAGACACAATGTACAGGGTGTCTCAGACCACCCGGCCGGCTTCTATAGCTCGGCCGGCTTCTACTATAGATCCAATATGACTCCGCGGTCACGGCGTGATCGTTGATATAACTCCACGGTCACGGGCGGGATCGTCGGTATGACTCCGCGGTCACGGCGCGATCGTCGGTATGACTCCGCGGTCAAGGCGGGATCGTCGGTATGACTCCGCAGACACGGCGCGAACGTCGGTATGACTCCGCGGTCACTGCTTGATCGTTGATATAACTCCACGGTCACGGGCGGGATCGTCGGTATGACTCCGCAGACACGGCGCCATCGTCGGTATGACTGCGCAGTCACGGCGCGAACGTAGGTATGACTCCGCGGTCACGACGTGATCGTCGGTATGACTCGCGGTCACGGCATGATCTTTGGTATGACTTCGCGGTCACGGCGTGATCGTCGGTATGACTCGCCATCACGGCACGATCGTTGGTATGACTCGGGTCTCGACGGGATCGTCGTTATTACTCCGCGGTCACGGCGTGTTCGTCGATATGACTCGTGGTCACGGCGCGATCGTTGTATGACTCGCGGTCGCGACTGGATTGTCGTTATTACTCCGTGGTCAAGGCGTGATCGTCGGTATGACTTCGCGGTCTCGGCGCGATTGTTGTATGACTCGCAGTCTCGGCGGGATCGTCCGTATGACTCCGCGATCACGGCACGATCGTCGGTATGGTTCCCCGTCACTGCGTGATCGTTGATATAACTCAATGGTCACGGGCGGTATCGTCGGTATGACTCCGCGGTCACGGGGCGATCGTGGGTATGACTCCGCGGTCTCGACGGGAGTGCGGGACTTGGCAAAATCGCTGACGTTCGGATGAAATCCTGTTCAGAAAAATTCCCGTATCTAATGTAATACCGTCCCGAAAATTGGGAATTTTTTTTGCCCGAAATTTAGGGACCCAACCATCCCTAGTATAAACATCTGTTTGCTGAATTTATTCTGTGTTGAATCTAAATTTCTTCTGAATTTGTATTGGATATTGTGACTCCCGAGGTATTTGAATTCTTTAACATAATCAAATTCATGACCATTGACTAGGAGAGGGTCTTGTGCGTAATGTTGATCTCTTGTGGAGTGGATAAATTTGGTTTTTGAATCATTTGTCTTTTCATTTGTCTTGAGCCCTATCTTTTCTGCTCCCCTTATGAAGACGTCATGACTATGCAGTTAGCGTAGTTAGATCCTCTAGCTTTTCAGACATTATAGCTACGTCGTCTGCAAATGCTAGCACATTCAGTTTGTCTCCAACTTTGACACCCAGGTTCAATCAATCAATCAAATGTTCTTTATTCAAGTTTAGACAATATGTCAATAGCGTCATTTCTGCTGTCTTCTTTAGTGTCTCCTCCAGGGCCAAATTAAATAAAATCGGGGAAAGGCCATCCCCCTTGTCTGACTCCTAAATCAACTTAGAAGGTTTCACTGTTTTGTACATTTATTCTCACAGAGCAACTTTTTAAATATATAAAAATTTGAACGAATGGTGTTTTTGGCATCTGGGGACATCAAAATGAAAAAGTAAATCGGTCCCAGGCCTAGGTCTTACCGTGCCACCTACGGTAATAGCTACTTCCCTATAGGGAAATTCGCTAAAACAGATTTTTCAAGAACAGTTTATAATTGAAGAAATATAAAAGCTACATATCAATCAATCAATCAATTACATCAATTAGGATAATGCAGCATACATACAGCATAGCAAAGTAAAGAACAGTTTTTCCAACTATCATATGATGTCACCAATCATCATGTCTACAGACCAAGTGATGCAGTTGTACGACAGAGACATCCCTGTAGACCACTGCAGAGAATTCAGTGCCTTCAAATAGACTGTTACAAAGATATAAGCGTTTTGATAACATTGGAACACCGACGCAAATATGCGATCTCAGTCTATTTTAATGTGACTAGCCGTCGCATATGTGCGTAGCTGGTCCATATGAATGAAAAATTTTGTACTATTGCAGTAGCAAACGTATTAACAAATTTTTGAGGATCCTGGCTAATAAAAGTCACCTTAAAAGCATCATTATCAGAACCTTATATAGCAAATTTAACCTCAGCTTAATGAATTGTCTGTGTCTTCCCTCAATATAACAAATCCCCTGCATTACTGAAATACCATACATCAGCGTACCTTAAATTTTCAATTGAGCATACAAAGAAATCAAGAATTAAATTAAGCTAACCCAATTAAAGATGTGATAGGCAAGTTGGCAGAATGGCTTACATCATTAACTTTACATCCATGCTTAATATACGTAAATGCTTTGATTATGAGCTTGACTATATGTAAAGTACTGGATCAGTCAATTTGTAATAAAATGACCAATCAGCAGTTCTAGGGTTATAGGTTTATCAAGAATTTGTTGGAATTCAATTTCATAAACATATTATACTTTGATTGTGTCATGAAATTTTGATAATTGATTGAAACATTAATTAATTTAGTGACTAAAATAGATTGAAGAAAAATAGTTAAAGAATTGGAACAAGTGGACTGTATTTTGTTGTGTTTACATGAAAGGAATCACTTACTGTTTTTCTTAATTCTTCTTGAAATGGAATACAATATAATATTATGATGAATTTTCTTGAATTTGACACTTTCTTCCTACATCTTCTCAGTTCATTCTCATTTTGTCTTCATTTGTTTATCTTCATTCACACAGTCACATGTTTTGTTTTTAAATTTTAATTGTTGGACATCTAGTAGTTAAACTGCTTGCATTTACAGTGTTGCCAATTTTAATAATGAAATATTATTTTTAGATACAATGTGAATATAATTTGATAACATATGATAATTAGTAAATATTGAAATGAATTGTAATTTAAACTAATAATAATAAATTGTAAACCTAAACATTGGTTAATGAATTTTGATTGAGTTAATAATTTAAATATGAATGAAATAAAGAAAACTGATAAATACTTAACAGATTGATAAAAAAATGAAAGGAAACTAAAACCTAGCAATCAAAGCGATTCCTCAAATTTATCACCAGAATACGAACCTGGTACCCATCTATAGGCAACAAACACTTTAGTCCCTTTAATTAACATCGTAGTTATAACATCTTTTTTTAACAATAGTCATATCTTCATATTAATTTGTTTCATGTAGATGCAACGGATGTTTTTTAATCCTAAGGGCAGGACTTTTTACTGTCTATATGGACCTTTGTAGGGTAGTTTTACCCCAAATTATGCTGAACCATCCCTCATTTTGTCCTTTGCTATTGGATCTAAATGTTGGTACTAGCCATGATTGAATTGATAGTTTCATCATCAAAAGAGAATTCAAAAATACCTGGGGGGCTATCAATAGGATTTAATGAAACAGCATGCACACAGTCCAGACAAGTACTCCACATACCTCACTGAGATATGACTGCTGGGCCAAACTGAGCATGTTCAGCTGGGTGAGGTTGAAGGTGTTGAGGTCACGGATGCCTGTGGCTGCCAGACGACGTGCCTCCTCTCTCCCAACGGCACACACACAGCCCAGACGCAGCAAAGCTCGAAACTCCAGTGACACTTGGGTCTCGTAGATACCTTCTATGTCTGGCATGGACAGATCTGCCATCAACTCCCTGCAAGTGACACCCCCTCAAGTATGTGTATGTACAGAAAACTGTGTATCTAAATCCTAACTATCAATTTAAATACAAGGGTTTTTGGGCTACACAGCCAAATATTACAATACCCCCACTGGAGCAAACCTGCAGACTAAGAAAATTTCCATTTGTCTGATTAGAATTTAAAATAACATTCAGTTTAACGAGTACTGTCCATGAGAGTTAAGAAGTCCCTTGAGCCATGGCCACATGCAGCAGTGGATGTCTGCACAACTGTGGAGATGATTCAAATTTTTCCGCGTTCGCGAAGAGAAGATTAAAATCTCCACATAACCGTGAGAGATGTTCATGATTTTGTTGCAATCACAAGAGACAATGATGATGCCCTCACAACCGCGGAAGATAACAAGAATTTTGCGGCGATCTCAGAAGACTATAATGAAGTCTATAGGACCTCAGGAGACGATGATGATGTCTACACGGGCATGGGAGATGTTGATAACATTTCCGTGACAGCGGGAAACGATGATGGTGTTTCTGTTACCGCTGAGCAATTTTCTGGATTTGGCAGTGATCTCAGAAGACGAAAATGATATCAACATGACCGTGGAAAGTCATCATGATATTACCTCGAGTTTTTCTTGCCTGGAAATATCAGACTCGCACACCTCTAGTTTTAATAACATTTTCTTTTTGATTTTTGTTGATACGTCTTCAATTACCTTTAATATGGTAGTTATTTAATGTGTTTGGAAGGGTTTAAATTAAACTTAAATTGGCTAGAAATAATTTGTCATTGCTGCATAATTTTTTTCTTTATTTGAAAAACACCCCATTACCTAAAAATACTTTATAGAATGGCATATAGGCAGGGGTTGGTGTAATATAACCAATCCATTCAAAAAAGTTGGTAAAACTCCAAAAAGATGTTTATCAGTATTGAGAATCGAGAATCAATTTTTCAGGGATCGATATCGTGAATCGATAAATTTTGGTATCGACACATCACTATTAGAAACTTATTGAGTGATTTACAACATACTGGCTGTGCTCTCTGTAAAGTTCCTCGGGCACGGAGAACTCATAGAGGTGGAAGGCTGGTCGGGAGCGAGGCAGGATGCGGTTGACTTTGCGCCACAACACGTCGTCTGCCTCATCCCGTGGGCTGCGCTGGTTGACGTAGAAAACTCGTGGTACTACCAGCCTCAGCTGGTGTAGCTCCTGACCAACCAGAGCCCACAAACGCAGCACTCCTGGCTCACTGGTCTCTCCTACCTAGAGAACAACATTAAAGAGAGCGAGCTTCAATATACTAAAACCAACACTGTGTTAAAAAAAGTAAAACTCCTTGGTTCGTGAACTTCTGTTTCATACTTATATCGTTTATATTTACTATACATTTCCTGAGGATTTAGTTAAATAGGCTATATGACAAATTTGGTAAAATGAAAGAAGGAAAATTGTATAACTAAAATGAGTGATTGTAAGGTATAGGCTATCGTTGACATGTAACATTGCAACAGATGATTATCAAAAGAAAGATTAAAGAAAGAATAATATTTTAGATTTTACTAACTTAATTCTTCTTCTTTGAAAAAATCTTTAAAAAGTGAAAATAAAATATATATATTAAATGTTACAAATAAATTATTTTAAGAAAATAAGCTATGGCACCAAGTAGTAAGCCTTACGTAACATGATAAATATTGTTGTTTGGTTTGTTTAAAATAACTAAATGCTGAAAAATAAGATTTTTAAAAAGTTCCCAGAGTTTAGGTGGTTTTAAATATCTTGAGTGATAGGGTAAATAGTTATTTTTTCTGTAAAACCTTTCAAATACATTTGGAATAGTAAATAAACAGTATTGTATTGTAAAGCAATTAAAAGCAAAAGAAAAAAACTCTTTGTTTCATAAACTCCCAAGATTTGGGCTTTTCTAAATGCCTCAGGCAAATTATGAGTTAGGGTAAACAGTATTATTTTAAAATAACCCCTTTCAAATATAATTTAAATATTTAGTTAAACATATATTTTTTATTTAAAAACAAACAAAAGCACAAAAAACACTTGTTTTCATAAATGCCCAAAACGTGGGCTTTTATAACTGTCTCGGGCAAATTAAGAGTTAGGTTAAACAGTTATATTTTACAGTAAACCCCTTCAAATATCAATTAAAATATTAAATTAAACATTATTTTATTTTGTATTTTAAAGCAATGACAAGCACAAAAAACAACCCTTCGCGCCCATTTATAAACGTCCCGCCCACTGGGCATTTGCCCGCCCCACATCACTACAAGAGGGTTGTATAAACAAAGATAGGATTATGCAAGCTTGAAAAAATTAAAAATTACAAACAATTTGTTGCAATCCACCAGGTTTGTGGCCATACCAAGACTACTAGTCAGTGAATATTGAACTAAAAGCTTATAAATGTTGTAGATGTACTTGTATGATCTGCCAGGGAGTATTGAGCAGTGTTTGTTGAGCCTTGCGCAGGAACCCCCCCAATGTAGACGTGCTGCTCCCAGGGTGACTGACAGTTCTCACAGCATCACCACCCCCGACATAGCGCATCTTCTTGGCCTCCGAGGCTCGTAACTGTCGTTTCTCTCTCTGCCAGGCCCACTTCTTCTTCTGATACTCAAGCCACGCCAATCGTTCGGTCTAAATGTGACATATACTAAAGTTAGTTATGCACTTACAATAGAAACCAGATAAGCTCATTGTAGACCTTTGTTTATCAATACTAGGATTTTGACTGTGATTAACCTCTATATACTCTAGGGCAAGTCCGGGATAGATGGACCGGTTAAATATTTCGCCAAATAATCGTAACAGCGCCATAGTCAGTGTCTTGAGTAGTGCCTCTGAGTGTTGTCTGTCTTGAAAAAATTTTAGAAGTCCGACTATTTTATTTTATATTTTTAAGTTATTCTAAGCGGTTTTTGCTAATTACCAGAGATATAAGTTATCACGTTACGGGAAAAATGCACTAATTGGGGAAAATCGCCAAATTTGCACTGTATATTTGAAACATAAAAATATAATCAGAAATATACAATTTATATACAAAAGTTGTTATATTACTAAAGGTACCGTAACTATACATTTATTTAGAACAATGCCATATTGCACAAAGTTATGAATGTTTTGATGACTTTATATGACTTGAAAAGCAAAATTTGAGTTTCGCGGAAAACAAAAAATTACTTTTTCAAAGTTGGATCTAATTTTTATACTTTACTAAAATATGATAAATAAATATTGCATGTATTTATAGGAAATGTATTTCTGAACAAGAAAATATACATTTATATACAGAAATATAAAAAAATAAAGGTTCCAGAAGCATTATTGCGACGTAATGGGCCTTTGGGCCAATGGGCCTAACCTATAAACTGACAAAACAGCTGTTTTCAAAAAAAATATTTCTCACATTTCCTAACGTCGTATGACAAAGTTCTCTATACAAAAATAAAGAACAACTCAAGTTATTTCTAATGGTACCAACCACTTCCTGTTTAGGCTAAAATTAATACTTGTAGATTTTTTTCAAGAAAACTTGTATTACGAGATTTTGTAGATCGCAGCTCAAAAATGTCACGCGCAAAATATTGTTCAAATTATAATAGCAATTTTATTGATATTTTAGTGCTACGAGGTTCGTTTATAAATGAAAATAGAATTTCAGAATCTCCTCTTTCCAACGGTATCAAAATTACGAGTATTATGCTTCTGGATCATTTTCATTACCTAATAAGCGTTTGAAAAAAAAAATGTCCTAAACGCCGTTAAACAGCGGTCGGGCACCGAGCGCACACATCAGAACGCCGTTTAAACGGCGCTGGGCAGTCCTAGGGTTAACAGTACACACAGACCAAGGGCGAAAACATGTTAAAAAGTGATCATTTACTTTTTAATACTCTGCAATCTTGTTTGTAAATAATAAGAATGTTTGTAAATATTCTTGTTTTTTTATATTTTTGATAATCTTTTGTAATGTCGAATATTTGCTACACCCGGTCTATAGCAAATACAATTGTGAAATTATTATATTTTTCTTGAAATAGCCCAAGCGCCGCATGTATGCGTCAGTTAATTTTTGTTTATGTTTTTAGGTGAAAGTAAGTGTAAAAAACAGATTTTTTAAGAACAGTTTATAATTGAACTAATATAGAAGCTGCATGGCATAATGCAGCATACATACAGTGATGCAGCAAAGTAAAGAACAGTTTTTCCAACTGTTGTGTTTTAAATAAAGAATAGATTTGAATAACTTAATGAACTCATTTTATTAAGATGTAAACAGAAAACAAAACTGTAAAATCAAAACATAAACAATCATATTAAAATAATTATCAGCTGGTATAGCAATCCTCCTCCTTTATTTTTCTTCATATACTTACAATCTTCTTATTTGGTCCACATGTCTTTTACACACAATTCCGTCTTCCATTCTAACAAGATAAATTTTTCCAACTGTCCATTTGTCATTTGAATTAAGGGAGTAGTTCCTCACCAGCACTCCCTCTCCTAAATTAAAGTGTCGCTTTGTTACTTGCATCTCTGTCTCCTGTCTCTTTCAAATTAGGCTTCTCTACTAATAGATCAAGTTCTCTTCTTATATTCCTCCCAAACATGAGGCTATAGGGAGACTTCCCAGTCGTGGAATGTTTTGTTTTTCTCAACTGTTTTAGTATAGTGTTAATCTTGCTCTCGACACATCCATTTGCAATTATAAGGCTCTTAACAGTTTGGACCACCCTTTCAGCTTGTCCATTTGATTTGGGACAAAAGGGAGCGATGGTTTTTTGTAGTATTCCATACCTCATGAGAAAATCTGTAAATGGTTTTGAAGTTAATTGAGTCCCATTGTCTGATACCAGTACATGAGGAAGCCCGAAGGTTGTAAATAACCTATCTAATTGTTTAACGCACCAAGCTGTGGTTGTAGACTTTGTAGGTATAATTTCTACCCACTTACTGTAGGCGTCAACGACGATTAAGTACCACCAACCCCGCAGTGGACCAGCAAAATCAATATGTATGCGTTCCCAAGGTCCGTTCGGGAGCTCCCATGGGTGAGTTGTCTCCTTCGGTGGATTTTTCAATTTTTGTTGACATGAATGACAATGTTTCACCATAGCTTCAATTTCTTGATCCATATTTTTCCAATAACAGTAGCTTCTTGCTAGCAATTTCATTTTTGTAATGCCCATATGGCCAGCATGTAATTCTTCCAAGACTTGCACCAACTATCATATGACATCACCAATCATATCCACAGACCAAGCGACGCAGTTGTGCGTCAGACATCCTTGTAGAAAACTGCAGAGAATTCAGTGCCTTCAAATAGACCGTTTCAAAGATATAAGCGTTTTGTTAACATTAGAACACCAACGCAAATATGCAACGTCAGTCTATTTTAATGTCACTAGCCATGGGTAGAAACCAGCCGTTGCATATGTGCGTGACTGGTCCATATGAATTAAAAATTTTGTACTATTGTGGTAGCGAACAAGTTAAATACGTGTTCAGAAGAAAACCAACATAAAATGGCAAGCTTCTTTTTCGAGAAAACAAGAAAGGTGGTCCATCTATACCGGACAATCGCGATGGATAGAAATGGCTGAATAACAATTTAACAATAATAACAACAATTTAGCAATAATAATAACAATTCAATTAATTATATTAATTAGTTTTAATTAATTTTGAAGAGTTTAATAATAATAATAATGTATTTAATATTGGTTTCCTAGCAATAACATATCATCTTATATAAAAAATTTAACCTGGCAATCCACAACACATTATTTTATTTTACAGTCGATGGTAAAAATTACTCATGTAGGAGAACTATTTTTCCATAGCATTTCTAATTGCAGATACTTTAACTGCCACAAACGGTTCCCACACTCTACACTGCATGCTTGCCTTTACTACATCTACCTCGTGGACCTGTTTCCCTCCCTTTACATAACATTTTAGGATCCCTGATACATTAATCAAACTGCCACAGACGGTTCCCACACTATGCACTGCTAGCCTTTACTACTTCATTCACCACTTCCTACATCGTGGGCCTGTTTCCTTCCCTTCCCATAGCATTTTAGGATTGTAGAGACATTAATCTAACTGCCACAGACAGTTCCCATGCTCCGACTGCTAGCCCTCACTATTTCCTTCACCACTTCCTATGTCGTGGACCTCTTTTCCTCCCTTCCAATAGCATTTTTAGTTTTAGATACATTAATCTAACTGCCACAGACGGTTCCCACACTCCCCACTGCTCGCCTTTACTACTTCCTTCACCACTTTCTACGTTGTGTACCTGTTTAAGTTTGCCATTAATGAGATGGATCCATGAATGTGATTCACCGACGAATTGTTTAAGACAAATGTTATTACTTATTAAGCTTACTTATTTAGCTGTTTAACTTACTTGTTACCTTATTTAGCTACGTAAATCAAATCTGTAAAATACTGTAGGCTACTTAAGAAAGTATGCTTTATCCATGACTGTACCTATTCGTTCAGTGGTCGTTTCCAAATTGCGACTGAAATGTAAACATAAGACTTTCTCTGTAATATTTTATCAGTTATCATCATCCTAATTTGATACCTTTATACTGTGTTTAGGTCGCGGCTTGATTATATTATGCTATGATTCTCTGTTTTATTTACATTTACGTTGTTATTTTGTAACCATCATGGCAACCAATAAGGCCAATGTTAAAATTTAAAAACTTTGAGTTGCTTTTAAATTATATAGGCATTATCAAAAATTGAAATTGGTTACGTCTAAACCATCCAAACATTTTACAAAACAACCTTGGTAAATTTGGCTAAAATATGATCAGCCCTTATTGAGTTTTAGTGTTATAAAGATTGCATTGAAGTTGATCCCAAAGAGCTTCGCTTCGCTCCGCTTAACAAAATTACAAATTTGAGTTGAGATTTTCTGCAAGAAAATCTGTACATGCAAGAATATTTTCTTTAAAGAACTAATAGTGTGCAAATTCAGCTGTTGTGGCAATATTGTTGTTGATACATGGACACTTATTTGTGTATGTATATGCAATGTGAATAAACCAATAAACATGAATGATTTTGACAATAGATTCAATTCCTAACTTGGAAGAATACTTTGACCCTGAACTTACTTTGAACAACAGAATAGATCAAAATTATTAACAAATTAGCTTATTATTTTAAAGAGGGTCTGCTGGTTATATTACATTTCCTTCAATACTAATTACAAAATTGTTTACAGTGAAGGTAGCAGGTTTGCCTACCTTGGTTGTGCCAAACGGTGGTGGAGTTCCCAGGGCCTCTCTCCATGACGTAGTGACTGGCTGCTGAGACAGAGAGCCGGGGGATTTGTCTCCGTCTCTCTTCCTCTTGCTACTGTAGGCCAGAGGTCTCTTACCTCCACCACTCCTGCCTGCTGCCAAGTCCTCAATATCTGACGTCATAGGCTGCTCACTAGAGCCAGGCTCTTCCTATAAAACACACACAATAGTTATTTGTGTAACTAGTGAGCAAAGTGGCACTTTGCTGCACACGAGAGCAACGTTTACGCACGAGCCGCAGGCGAGTTCGGAATTATCTCGAGTGCAGCAAAGGCCTTTTGCACTTGTGTAATTATATATATCCTACAGTCACTTAAAGCATATAAATAATTAGTCTTTCAAACACTCTGAAACAGGTTTTTAGGTTCAGCTGGCAACACAGATAGGTGCCCTAGAGAAATTAGTGCCCGGTCCGTATCACTCTGCTATTTTTTCCTCGGCAAGCAATGTGCTCCGCGACTTGAGAAAATAGTTCCATATATTTTTTTTAATTTGCAGTGATTTCCGCGCCTAAAAAATGCTTTAACCCACCGAGGGTCACGCGTCAAAAAATAGACGCACAACACACTTTGTGTAGGGTCACGCGTCTAGTTTTTGACGCACAAACATCGTTTACGGCGAAGGCTCTATGACTGACTGAATCGGATTGAACTGGATCGAGTTAGGTATCGTTCTTTCCGTTTTATTCTAAGCTTTCTCCAGAGGTCTGTCTCAGCGCTGTTTTTTCTCCGAGCCGATCGTAATTGTAGCATTGTAGCAGACAGCTGACTTTTACTTGACTTGGTGTTTTAGTTTTAGTACGTTTACGTTTACGTTTGTTTATCGTCGTTTTTGGTGGTAAAAATCAGTAAAAATGGACAGTAGTGATATTCGTAATGCACTAATTGAAGATATAAGTGATGTAGAAGGACTAGTTGATGATCCCGAAGAAGTAGGCAGTGACATTGATGTGAATTATCCTTCAGATTCTGAACTATCTTTGCTAGACTTTTCGTCAGGGAGTGGAGAGGAATATGTGCACGATTTGGACGATTTAGAGACGTCAGATATTGACGAAAATCTTGAAATTGAAAATGAACAAGACCCTAATGCAGGTAGGCCTAGGCTAATACCAGTACAGCAAAACATAGAACCTTGGATTAGGGTGTATCCCCCCGAACCTCCGAAAGATGTCAGACCTCAGTTTCAAGTTAGGGCTACAGGACCCAAAGATTTACCCCCAAGAAATTCTTCCCCTATCAATTATTTGAACCTATTTTTGACAGCTGCCTTTTGGAATCTCATAACAAGAGAAACTAATGCCTATGCTCAAAGAACATTAGATGAAAAGAGAGATAATTTGAGTCCACAATCTAGGTTCAAAAGATGGTCCAATGTTTCCATACAGGAAATGAAAAAGTTCTTTGCTATTCTTATCAATAAGGGAATGATTGTTAAGAAAAACATCAAATCATATTGGGACACTAGAAAAACAGAACATATACCATTTTTTTCAAACACCATGGGGGTAAATAGGTTTTTACTCATAAGCAGTTTCTTGCATTTGACATCGGCCCGCGCTGTTGAGAGGGGTCAGCCTGGACATGACCATTGGATGAAAGTAAGGTGGTTGTTAGATCATCTCAATTCAAGTTTCAAAAAACACTTTGTACCAAATCAGGAACTCTCCATCGACGAAAGTGTAGTGGGAACAAAGAACCGATGCATATTTATTCAATATATGCCAAATAAGAAACACAAACAATACGGCATTAAAAAATTCGAACTTTGTGATAGTGCCACCAATTATGTTATGCACATGGAACTATACAGTGGACGTGATTACCTTTCTGAAGCTAACTATGATGAAGAGTTGTTTACCGAGAGGGTAGTAAAGAACTTGATTGAAAAATCTTCATTGTTTGACAAAGGATATCATGTCTTTACCGACAATTTCTATACGAAAATCCCATTGGCTTTTTTTTTTAACCTTCTTGAACGACAAACATTCATCACAGGAACCATAAACAAAAAGTCAAAATTTATATCAAAAAGAATTAAAAACTAATAACTTAGGAGAAAGGGAAACAGTATACTTTAGAAAGGGAAATCTGTTAATGGTTGGTTACCGTCAGAAACTGAGTAGGAAAATTGTGTATTTGATTTCTACAGCATACCATGCGGAAGATCAAATTATTACAAGTAAAAAGGGACTGAGAGGCATGAAACCGGTTTTGATACACCATTACAACCAGTTTATGGGTGGTGTGGATGTAAGCGACAAATCTGTGTACCATATGTCTTGCAACCGCACCACTTCAAAGTACTGGAAGAAGCTTTTCTTTAATTTTATTGATATTGCGCTCGTAAATGCTTACATTCTATACAAAGAGAACACTGACAAACCTGTATCAAGAAGAGATTTCCACATATCTATTGTAGAATCCCTCGTAGGCGAAGCAACCTGCGATGCCTTACCTGGACCAGTTCCTGGACCCCATGGGGATTGCGGTGACCACCGACTAGAAAAACTGCATCAAGGAAAACTAAGATTGTGTATCGTTTGTGGTCACACCAAAACCAGAGGCAGAGGCAGGTCTTCATATTGGTGCCCCGGATGTAATGTGGGTGTTCACAAAGAGTGCTTCCACAAAATGCAGCACTTTTGGAGGCATAAAAATTGCAGAAAAAGGGCCAGAGTGACCCTAGACCAAAGTAGCGGAGAGGACTCTGATTAGGCCCATGTGTTAATTCTTCTGTACATAATATTTCTTTTCATAAGTGTTATTTTTTATTTACTAGTGTTGAAAACTATTGACAGCAACAACTTTGCAAGTTTTTTGTCTGACTTTTGTGACTTTATGTAAATATATTTTGGATACTTTGTAATTTATCAAGTTCAGTAAACTTCTTCAAGTTCTTCGAATTCTTCAAGTTCGGCACAGGATTCTGGCCCCATAATCAAGGTAAAACCATGCTGTATTTTTCTCATTTACTAGTAGGCTGATTTTGTACTAACTGTAAATAAAATTTCATACAACATGAAATACTCTGGTTGGTATATGTGTTTTTATGAAAGGTGTTGAGTCATTGGGCGATTTCGGTATTTTCTTTCAAACGCGCAAAACATGTTTTTCACTCATAACTTATTTATTTGATAACTTACCTCACTATATGATTATATATTTGTAATCCTCATTAAATTTAGAACAAAGTGGCTATTTTCAAATATTTATAGGCCTATAATTTATACAATTTCATTGAGCGCGAACTTATTTTTTTTTTTTTTAATTTTCGAAATTATATTTTTTTTTACCTAAAATTTTTTTTTTGAAAAAATGTTCCTTATGTTTTATATATAATATTGAAGCCCATGATTTTCCAAACAAAATGGTATATAGAACATTAGAATTAACATTGTTTTAAGCTTCTCAGATCCGTTTTAATAAAACCTTGCAAATGCGCCAAAAATAGGTGGACATTAAGGCCTAAACTATGGACACTCGGAGGGTTAAAGGTATTTTCTTGTTTATTAAGATGGTAGGAATGTTTTAAAAACGTTTAAAAGAAAAGTCCAGAAAGTTCAGAAATACCGAAAAGAGAACATAAACTATAAACACGAAATGACAGGTTAAATCGTAGTTATAATAGTCAATCAGCTGCTCATAGTATTATTATCTTTAAGTGTTGCCAACCTATTTCCAAGTGTACACGGATTACGTGCTTAATAGAACCACGCTGTTTTGTGTTGTTTCGTTGGAATCCTGATGTGTGCCAAAGTATAACCCGTACGACAAAGTATAAACCGTACGACAAAGTATAAATAAATATGCAGCAATTAGCAGCTTTCTGTACTATAAACAGTACAAGGAAGCCAACTTTGTTGGGTGACTGTAGGAAAAGTATATAGAATGTTAAGGCCCAATCAATATTCAATGATCTATCAATGATATTTAATAGTGATGGACAAGACCCGAAGATTCGAGATTTTTTCGAGATTTTTTTTATCTCGAAGTTTTGGGCGGGATTGAAATACTAACGGTATATTTTCAAAAAATAACTTCTTGATCAGCATTGTACGTGTTATTAAATTTACGGAAAGTAAATAAAAGAAACGTCTTATAACACTTAAAACATATATTTACGCTTATACTGTTACTCACAAGACGGTAAACATACAAAAACGATGGTAAGTGGTGATCGATTTCGATTGGACACTCCAATCATCATCAGACCCAATAGGCGAATGACAAGAATCTTGAATGGCGTCCCTACTTATACCCTATTGGCTACCGGAAGCACCGGCCAATACATTTTTATAAGTACAACTGGAATCAAAATGTATTTGTTCATTAATCAACTTATTTCTATCTTTACATTTTTCCTTATAAATATACAATTCCTCCCAAGCATTCATTACATATCCTTTCTTACAATTCTTTAAAATATCTAGACTATCCTCCATTTTTCCTAGTGAATGCCCATTTTGTAACAGGTGTTGTGCGACATTTGTTCTTTCCGGTTTGTTGTTCCTCCACGCAGATATGTGGTTTTTGAAGCGGTTTACGAAGTTCACAGTCTGTCCAATGTAGAAGCTATCACAATCGTTACAATTGATTTTATAGATGCCCGAAGTGTCAAATTTGTTACAATCTTCTATTTTTGGATGCAGTATTTTACTCATGGTGTTCTGAGTCCTGTAGGCTATTGAAACTCCGTATTTCTTGAATCTGTTAGCAGTCCTTTGTGTTGTAGTCCCCGTGTAGCTAAATGTGATATATCTGGTGCTTTCCTCTTTTATCTCTTCTAATGTTGTTCTGCTGTTTAGTGTATTCTGTCTATCGATTTTTCTCCTCGTCTTCCTTGCGATGTCCTCTATCGTCTTGGTTTGAAATCCATTCGCTTGGGCGATCTTCTTAATGGTGTCCAGTTCTTTTTTCCTATTGGCTTGGCTAAGAGGGATCTTATAGGCTCGGTACAGCATAGATCTAAAGGCTGCGGTCTTGTGGATTGTCGGATGGATAGACTTGTTGTTGATTGTAGTGTCCGTTTGCGTAGGTTTCCTGTAGATGTCAAACTCTATCTTGCTGTCTTTTCTCTCTAATGTGAGGTCCAGGAAGTTGATCTTTTTGTTTTCTTCAAACTCGTTGGTAAAGGTGAGGTTTGGGTGG